ATTTGAAGCATTGGAAATAACTCCATACTCTTCTCCACCTGATCTCCCAGATGTAATGAAATCACAAGAAAGTAATGGACAGGAAAAGTCTTAAAATGTGAATAATTAGTTGCTTTTAAGACTTGTTTCCTTTGGTTAATTTTAATTGACTGTATAAAGCAAATTATTGTGCAGTTGCACGGGTATTTATAACATAATTTTATAGTTTCTTGCAGCAAACTTTAACAATTAATAATAATTTAAAAACTGATCAGCATAATAAGAGAGTTTTCAATATTATTTGTTTTTATTATTACCATACCTTTTAAAAAGATCTTTTTTAATTTAATTTATGATTAGATTCAAAGGCAATTAACAGCTTGTATGTATCCAGTTTTTTTTGTTAATAAATGTTATTTTTAGACATTGAAAAGAATATTATTTCTTATATAAATGTCCATTTAAATTATGAAAACATTAATTAATTAAGTAGGTCCTATACTATTTTGGTTGTTTTCTAATTAAACAATCTAATTATTTGAGACAGTTTAATTGTTTAAGAGATCTATAAAAGTTTACATAATTAATTAAATCCAAAAAATACTTAAGTAAATGTGTTATCTTTAAATAATTAATAGGTCATATTGTTAAAATAAACAATTATTTCTACAGGTAATTAGAAGTCTATAGTGCACTTCTTCTCAATGGTGATGTAGATCTGGAAAGGTCAATTTCACCCAATTCATTCTCACTATCATCATTATAAATTCCTTTTACTGATTCTGAAGAATTTGAAGAAACACTATTACATCGCCTCCATTTGGCTCTTCTATTTTGAAACCATGTCTTTACCTAAAAAGATGTTGAATAAAATCACTGGCAATCAAATAAATAAAAGCAGTTGCAAAAAGAGGAGCAGATTAGCAGGATTAGAATTTGATTACAGCAAAAGAATGAGCTCTTGAGTTATAAACTCAAGTCTTACCATAAAATATCTTTTTTTATTACTTCTATAATGTAAAAAGAGAAAATAAGCTTAGAATTGATTCAAAAACATTTGATTCTCACTTGAACAGGATAAAACATATTAACTGAATCTAGATTATTTTTCTTGTTTGAATCAGAATTTGGCAATAACTTTTCATATTTCACATTTTTGGAATCTCGACTCTGTTTTTCAATTATTTCTGAACTACGAAATTGCTCTGCTAACAAGAATTCTGAAGAAGGACCTTCTTCGTCTTCTAGAACTTTTTCCATTTCACAGGATGGCTGTTTGCTGTTCATACTTCTTTTACTTAAACTTTGTCTGCTGTTTAATTTCTTTAAACATTCATTACATATACAAGAAGTCATTTCAGTGCCAATTGATTGGGTGATTTTGATTCGATTTTTACTACTTTTGCTTTTCTTTTTTGATATTTTTTCCGAGGATTTCGTTTCTGACTTTTTTCTTTCAACACTTACACTTATTGTATTATCTTTGTATTCTTTAGTTTCATCTTTTTTTTTGTTTTTTTGTTCTTGCCATGATTCTAAGCACTTCGAGTTCTCATGATATACAGATTGGTCTGTGTGTTTGTTCAGTATATTTCTATTTTTATTTATGTTTTCATCGTTATCGTTTTTAACTTCTTTATTTTTTAGTCGATCGTCTTCTACTGAAACATTCTCTGTATCAGGGAAGGAGAACATTACAGAACATTTATTATTCGTTTCTGATACATTCGTTTCTTTTATTTCGCCAGTCAAAGCTTCTTTTACTTCTTTCCTAATTTTATCCTTTAACTTCTGTTCTATTTCTAATGAAGAAAAATCAGAAAAACTGTGAGACTTTTTTAATTCAATATGATTAGCAGCATTTGCTAATACATTTTTATTCAGTATTTTTCCATTTTCATTTTCATATGGATTTTTGTCTTTTAACTTATTAGCATCTTTAGAAGTGGAGTCAACGTTAATATTATCTAGTTTTTGACTTTTAATTTTCTTTGAAGAACTATTATCAGTTTTTGATTTATAATTTTTGCTTGTAGATTTTTTGTTAATAGCTTTTAATGTTTTTGGATCAACTGGTACAGTTTCTGTTGAGCAGGTTTTAGTGTGCTTCACAGGGAGACTTTTAGTTTTTTCCTTTTGTGCGTTTCGAGCTATTATTTTTACCAAAGCATTTTCGACGTCCACATTTATTTTCTTCATCGTTTCAGTAACTTGTCTATTTGTGTTGTTAAGAGCTTCGAAAATTTCTTTGTTGGTGTTTCTTATAGTTTGGATTATGCATTGCATTTCTGCCATTGTGCCCGAAGTTTTTGATGAACTTTGCCATTTAGAGCCTGTTGCATTGTGACCCGAAGAAATGTGTGTGTTTATCTTAGAATTATGTGAATATTGGGAAGAGACGTCGGAAAATATTTCTCCAGAAATTGAACCGAAAGGCTTTTCTAAATTTTGGTTGTTGCAATATCTATTCGGTATTGGACCTTTAAATGTGAAATTTCTGTCCTCGAGCTTGCTGTTGGCTTGAATTTTTGCCATAACTGGATGAGTATTGATAGGAATTTGATTTCTTATTGTACTAGTTTCGATTCTGCTTGCTCTGCTTGGTACTGGGGAGGAAATTAGATTTCTACTGTTACGAATTACTTCACATAGAGCGGATGCAAATGGTAAAGCATCATTAGCTACTGTGGGGAAGTCCTCATGTTCATTTTCTGGTATTTTTATTTTGGAACTTAGTATTCTTTTATAGGCCATTTTATTAGATAAAGTCTTCAATTCTTACCCCGATAATTAAACATGATTCGTGATTGGCAATAACATGATTTTTTATGGTAGTTTCATCATTTTTGAGTATTTTTTTTAATTAACATTAAATTTAGAAGTTTCTATCAAATTACACCCACACTAAGAAATTGTCATTTTATTGTCAAAGTGACATCAAGTAAAAAAAAATTAATGTGTTAATAATAATTTGATTTCTTTTACCTGCCTATCTGACAATTTTAAAGAATTTGCTAAAATTCTTCGATCCTCAGGGCTAAGATATTTGTGAACGCTGAATCTTTTTTCCAGAGCTTCTGTTTGTGAAGTTGTAAATCGAACTTGGCCCCCTTTTCTCTTTGAATAATGCGAATAAGAAAGAGGTAATAAAGGGCCATGAGGGGTCCAGTACCTCGTCCTCGAATATAGTGAAGAACATCCTAAAAAATATATCATTTCAATCCATCTTTATAAAATAATACTTATGAAAATAATTTACTTCCAAACAATTTCATATCTTCTTTTTACAAATTAATCAATGCTTTATTCAGAATATAATTTTTTGTCGAATTTATTTTATCCAGTAGTTAATAGAATTGGTTTTAGGTTTAATCATAAGTGTATGTGATCATAAATTATTTACTTGATCCAGTGTATTATGTTAAAGATAAAAAGCACAGGAGGTAGATTGAAACAATTTTATTAGCTAATCGGGAATATTTTGCTTGGCAGACTCATAAATTATTGTATTATACTTAACTTTGTTTTTTCGATAAGTTGCTACTTAATATTTCCAAGCAATAAAAGAAAATGTTTATAATCGTCAGCAAAAACATACATATAAGTGCTAATAATTTTACGAAAGCAAATCGCTATTTCTTTTTTTATTTATATAAACCTATCNTATTTTGTAATGAATAAAAACAGGAAGCGTTTAAATTTTTGATGGATTGTTTTTATTTCCGCTCATTTTTTTATAGGGAAATAGAAGTCGGTGATCATTTTCAATTACTTAAAAAATAATGGAAAAGTAATTGCATGTTGTACTCGAAATTCAAGTAGATATGTAATTTAAGGAACATTAATTAACTTCAGAGACAGATGTTTGAAAAGCGCAAAAATGTCGCGTTCACTCGTAAAGAAATATAAATCTTATTTTAAGCTCCAATACTTAATACAGATAATTTGTAACACCTTTGAAAATCGATCAAATATCATTCCGGATCTATAATTTCTGATAAAGTTGTCAAATACGCTTATACGACGATCAATCGTTCCAATAATCTCCCTTTGCGTTTGTATTTTTATCATTTTGCGACCTGTTTAACAACTGATTAAGCTGTATAAAATATGACAGGAAAATATACCTACCTATATTAGAAATAAAAAGACGACGAATCGTTTTATCGGGGCTTCTGCCATAAGCGAGAGCTTTTCAATATTAAACTCTTTATGTCCATTAGACGGTAGAAAAACTCGTTGTAAATCTTTCAATCGGATCAAATATTAATCTGACGATGACGCGTTACGCAAATATCTACCATATTTATTTAACTAGGTATTGGAAAATTAATGGACAATCATTTTTTTATTAAATTTTTCAGGATATCAATTGCTTTTATTAGTTTCAAAACAGAAGGAAACTTGTGTACTTTTGATCTTTTTTGTATGAGAATTTAACACGTAATATCAATTTTGCTTTTTATAAAAATCTGTCGTTTAGACATCAAAATAATATTAAAAAATAGATTGCCAAGGTGCCATTAAGAATAAATAGATGTTTTGTCCTTCGATTTTTTTTATCGAGGTAGATTTATTTATATTTAGGTACATGCTTTTATACAGTACCAGTTATATTCGATGGATTCAATAAAATCTCGTAAGTGAACTATCGATTTTATTGATTGATTAATAAAAGCCCTTTTATATATCTCATATATGAAGTATTTACCTTTTTTATAATTTAGGAAGCAAAACACTCGGTATATCGCAACACATTCGATTCTTTTTTGTCATAATTATTCACACGTTAATGTAATTCTGATATGAAATGTAAACCCCTGGTTATATGCCTATGAAAAGTGCCATTTTTACACTCTAGACATGATGTACCTAATGTTAAGATTTTTTAAAATTAAAATTAACTGATAATTAACTTCATAATCAAAAAAATGTGCAATTACTAAACAAACATTAATTAACTTATTAGCATCTTTAGAAGTGGAGTCAACGTTAATATTATCTAGTTTTTGACTTTTAATTTTCTTTGAAGAACTATTATCAGTTTTTGATNTTAATGTAATTCTGATATGAAATGTAAACCCCTGGTTATATGCCTATGAAAAGTGCCATTTTTACACTCTAGACATGATGTACCTAATGTTAAGATTTTTTAAAATTAAAATTAACTGATAATTAACTTCATAATCAAAAAAATGTGCAATTACTAAACAAACATTAACAACTCAGCTTTTTGAATTATTTTAAGAATAACAATTTTTTTACTTACCCCTTTCGACATAGGAATTCAAAGATTGAAGGGACAATAGCATATCACAATTGTACATATCAGTACAACGTTTAACATTTTCTAAGTCATTTACGGAATAGTATGGTAAATGCGGGCTGTTTTGCAAAGTTTGTTGTAAAATACTTCCATTACAATGACCAATGGTGCTTAAATATTTCCAAAACTCCGTTTTCGAATGGTCAAAATTTGGGGATGCAGCTGACGTCGTGGCGCACATTTTTAAGGAAGCGCGATTTATGTCGTCTTTTTTTAATATGTCGTCAATAAGAAACGACATTTTTATAAAGCAAATGAATTGAAAACCAATAAATAAAAATACTCTGCCACAATTAAAAACAATAATTAATTATTATATTATTACCATCAAAACACGCGGAGGCGCATGTGACAGTCGTTAGTGCGAAATAAGCAAAACACCCGTCTGAAAGGTGTAATATGCGACAAAAACTACATAATCCCTGATAGACCGATGATGAACTATCTGCAGGAATTTAATTTAGGCTTTAATTTATGTACTTTTCAGATAACTATTAGCCATTCCGATCGGAATTACTTGTGCAAATCGATTCTTATCATAGCATACAACTCCTATTCGGCATTTCATAACTTAGTTTTTACTTTCGTTACACTCCTATAATTATAATTGTAGACATTCAATAGTGCGAACAGCACATAATGCAAACCCCGCATAATACGAACAATTGATCTCAAAAATTGATATTTTGCCATAGCTGTTCAATCATGGGTTAATTTTGTAATGAAAAAAGGATCACATTCGGTCAATTTATTAGAAGTACCATATACAAAAATAAATAATATTAATAATAATGAGAAAGAATCAAATATTACAACAAGAAAGGACAATAAATGAAGAGGACAATTATTATCAATGAAAATGTCAATAGTTTCTTAAAAGGTAATAATAAGTCTTACTCAAAATATTTACAAGGAACGATAGCAACAAAAATTTAATGTTCGATAATAACAACAATAATAACATTATCAGGGAATAAAATTTCAATTGCACTGTCGTTATCGTCACAAGAAAGTTAGAGAAACAGGAAAAATCATGTAACATTTCCTAACTACTAATAAATATCAATTGGTGGGGTTTATCACGGTCAATACGTCAAAATGTGTATACAGATTGGGAAGGGATGATTCAAAGTGAACAGACCTATCGATATTTGCACCCAATTTTTGTAACATCTCCGTAAACATCTTCTCTTCTTTTTTTATCCACGGTCTTCTATCATCAGTTATTTGATACGGAGTTACTCGTACATGTACCCTAATACCTACAACAGAAAACAACCATCTTTATTTTAGGCATTAAAAGTCAAATTATAAATAATTATGAAAAAAAATCAGTCCCTTATGTTCTTACCAAGTCTTGTAAGTGTTTCGAGAAGACTACGCGAAGTAATCCAGGTATTTTTTCCACCAGAATGCCCCCCATCTAGCCAGTACATGTCTTTTATTCTGGACACGATGGACATGGATGTATTATCATCGGGGGTGAGTGTTTTCAAGTAATGGAACTCGTACAGAAATTGATTCAGTACCACACAGCCTTTACTGAAGCCGATTAAGATCAGATTGTTTTTGTGCAATTTTATCCCCTCCCTCCACCAGTACTTTGCAGGATTTAAATTCTTCAAAGAAGAAACTTCAATAGAAGTTGACGATGGTAACGAATTTCGAAAAAATTGCAGTTCGTTCTGCAGCAATAAAGAAAGTGTAAAAATAATTTAAAACGTACTGTAATATTGTTTATTGAGAAAAGACGTCACGATCTGGCGCCACAAGAAAACTAAAAATAAATTATAACTCCTGCAATTTGCTTTTTTTACTAAATACAAAAAAAAAAGTGGAACACTTTCTTCAAATTGCGTTACAAGATACAGTAGATGTTTACCAGACTACTAACATTTGCTCTTAACACGCAAAGTTATTAGTTTATTTTGGCACCGTGCCACTGGAAATTAATTAGATTTCAAACAAGAATTGCCAGCTTCTAAGAAACAATTCGTCGAAATTTAGGAAATTGCCCCATTTTATTTTATTTTGTTTGGCATTCAAAGAAAATCTTTAAAATTTCCAATTTTCAAACACATTTCTGCTATCGTTATTATTCGACAAGTGTTTATTCAACAGTATATAAAAAATACTATGTTTTCTTTCAAAAATATACCTCAGTGCTATCGTCTTGACAAAGAAACGAATTATTACAGACTAATTTTTCGAGCTGTCCAATACTGGCAGTCTCCAGTCTTTCACTAATCATCTCAAGCAGTTTTTCCAGATGCTGGAGGGCAAAGTGCATGGGCGTGTGTTCTGGGACACCGCAGTTATTGCATGGGACAAAATTTTCGAATGAGCTAAACGTCTTGTATTCTATCCTGAAAACAAGAATCTTTGTACAGTTTATACAGGCTACATGAAAAATAAAAAGAGTACACACATTAGAATAACCAACCTATAGGGTCTAACGACTACGACGTGGCAGTCTTGAAATTGGGACCGAATTAAACGACCGGTATCCTCCAGGTTCCATTTTATGTAGTGCTTGTGATCCCTATGGGATTGCATATTTTCTGGGAAGTCCTAATAAAAAAATGCCTATATTTATTACTAAGATGGGCACAGATTTATTTGTTTTTGAACAGTATAAAAGATCATACGAAAATAGTAATAACAGAAAATGCACATTTTTTAATTATGACGTAATTAGCACTGCGGACAATTAACAGTCAAATTGCAAAATGCAAAAGATCGTTTGACTAGTAAATGTGGGTGTTAGTGGTGTCTAGTTCAACGGAGTTGGAAGTGAAAACTGGCATGCTCTGAACATGTTTCATGTTCGAAACAATTACACAGGATGAATATAAATTTATTCAGATATTGACTTTGAGACGTCGCCAACTGCACTTCCCGCATTATATGGATGATTAATGCATCATCAATTATATTAGTTGGGTTTACTTTGAACGTCCCAGATAATCGAAGGAAACTGTTTTTCAACGCTAACAAAGTCACAATGAGAAAAAATGACCTAAAATTGTCTGCTTACTTAAGAAATATGCATTAAGATAAACAGAATCGCATATATTTAACAATCGTTATCGTAGAAATAGGTGAGCTATTTATAACGATCGTAAAATTAAAAGGAAAAGATTCTGTTTAACATACGTGGATTGCAGAGTGTATTTTTAGAATGAAAATTAGCAAAAATTTAACGCGTTACAAAATTTACAGTCTCATTAATTATGCGATCTGTTCAAACTGGTAATTAAATGGTAGGAAGCATGAAAATAAATATCCAGGTTTTGTAAGTACCTGGACATCTCCTCCAAAGAAGACGACGGTGCTGGGTTCGCTGGAGGGGGTTGCAGGGGGACAGTAGACGACATCATTTGTCCTCCCACCATATCCATCAACATTGCGTAGTCGAAAAGCGCGAATTTCGGGTGATACTCCACCCGACATATTCATACACGTCACATCTACAAGAAAAAGACCGTATTACGTTCTTTACTATGTCCATAACTAATCTAATTTCGTCATTTGGTTATCGCCACCGCCCTCGACTAAAATCTATATGTTTCTATTACGTTTACGACATCGACTTTTGCTACAGCACGTCATTAAACGCAACCTTGTGTCTTCTAGGCACTGATAGATGTCTTCTTTAAGTTCTTGAACCTTAACTTGTACCTCTTCGCGCATAAGGTTGTAACACATCGCAACCAAACCTAACCCGACTAGCATATAAATAAAATTGATAACAAGTTTAGTTTGACTGCCGCTCCTAGAGTCCGATATATTTGCTCCGGGAACTAGGTCACCGAATCCAATCTTGCACAAACTTGTGACGCAAAAATATGTACTGTCCAAATAGTTCCATTTTTCCCATTCAGCGAACATAATGGCCCCTGTGAGTACATACGCTCCAATTACCCACAGACAAGCAGTGGACGGAACTATTATTCTTTTCGGGGGTTCGTTTACACCCCTTTCAGTACTACATTCGTACAGCCATGTGTAACCCCAACGAAAGACTCCCGCGAGGACTTCCCCCATGTTCATAAAATAGAGTACGTACAAAGGTATTCCGAATACGGCATAGATTACGGTGACGCCTTTTCCCCAAGGAGTTCTGGGCACCATATTCCCATATCCTACCATCGTGATTATGCTTAGGGAAAACATTAGAGCAGCAGAATAGGACCAAATCTCGCCCGGAGTACGACCATCATATCCTTTTTTTATGGAATGCACTATATTCTCTTGATAACGTTTCAAAGTCTTATTTACAGTTTTCCTGAAGTCGGTCTCGTTAAATATGTTCTGTGTAGCTACTATGTCCCACAATTCTTCGACGCACGCATTTCTCCACTGAATCACTTGAAGATATTCCGTGTCATCCCTGTCTTTTTCGATGTGCATGAACCCTGCGGCTCCTATCATCGTATAACCGACCACTAAGCCGCCAACTCCAACTTGGGTGCACATGAAGGCTATGATTTTACGACAACAGTCTATTATTTTTTCACGGGGATCGGCGTCGCTGGTCGACGAAGATTCCCTACTGCGTACAGAACTGCGAAAGGAGCGACGAGATTCCATTGTACACCAGAAGGCTCTGTGACGTGTTGAGCCTTCGATAGCTCGGACCCGAGTGGCCAATGTATTTTATTCGTTGTATTTATAACATACATTGGCACTAGGCCAAGACGGCGGGAGTGAAAAGAACGAAATAAAGTGTCTGTAATTATTCATTCTAAGAAAAAGTGGGAGCTCGATATGTGGACGGGATTGCTAACTGACTTAAAACTGTACCCAGACTCATTTAATGGGCTTGGTGGTAATGACCTCTTAAAAACTTTACAACAGTTCATCATTTAGGATCATTCTGGGGTCTTTTCATAATTTCTTTTATTAAAGATTTGCTTTTTAAAGGTATTTTGCTTATTGGTATTTTCAAGAAAATTCGTTACTTGTTCATCTAAAAAGAATAAATAAAAACAGGACTGAGAATAAATAAAATTAACATTATTAAATATTGTATTATCAAATAAATATCAAATTTAAAAACTTTAAAAAATGTAAAGTTCTTCTTACTTTCTAAAATTCTTTGGCATTTGTTAGAAAGACTAAAAATATAAACCTATTACAAGAATTACACCCAAACAAAAGTATATTGCTAAATTGTGTACATCAACTCCAATTTAAATTGAACTGCTGATAAATATTACATTATTTCTATTAAATGGAACTTTTTCAATAATATTGTGGTACTCTAGTTGTGTTTCCTAAAAGTAAAATTCAATGTAATCACAATCAAAAACATACAGTGAGTTTATATTTAATCATTTAATTAAGATTAAAGTCTTCTGACTAATCATTCAATAATTTTTGGCATTTAGTAATAAATAAAGCTTGGTACAATTTCAGATCTTATTTATAGGAGAGATTATACAGAAACTACACTATTTTATAGGCCATCAAAAGAGCACTTTTGTTCATAATTTGTAGGAACAAATGTATTATGTATCTTGTACAAAGACTAAGAAAATAAATAAGGATCGAGACATGTATTAGCCTAGAAATAATAATGTGGCACTTAAATAATAGACAATTTATCCAAAAGACATATAGAAACCTGTGAACTCCTCTAGGATATGAAAATAGAATACATTTATGTTAAATGTAGCAGTTGCTAGAAATCCAATTCTTCGCATTGACATAAACAAAAACACCCTAAAAATATGTTTGGCAAATGGGGGTTTTAACTAAATGTAAACTTTTAAAACTGTAAATAAAGTAACAAATTATCACAAAATATTTACAAGCAGATATACAAAACAATAGGATAGTTATATGTAGTTAGCAAGTAAACAACAACTACTGAAAGTTAAAGTAATGTTGCCATTACTAAAGGAAAAATAATCTTATTTTAAAAAAATACTTTTATATGCAATTGGCAAGGTAACACTAAGTAAATAATTACTTATCAAGAAATAAAAATGTGAATATTGTAAAAGAACTATTAAGTTGTAAAATTTACAGTAAGTGTCATTGAATTATAAAATAATTAACAGCTATATTTTTACTTACCAACTTTCCAAATCAATAAGAAACATTGTAGCCTTCTTATAAAATTAATATTCGGTATCTAAATAATCCTAAAATTAATTTTTAAAGCCTTATTTTAATTTTCATCACATAACACCTACAAATTGATGGATAATATGACAGTTCCCCCACCTTCACTTTTCAATTTCACTTGTCACCAACTTTTAAAAAATACGGTGGACATTAATTTTCATTCAATGTACGTTTGTTTTATATTAATAAAAATTTTAATAACTTGTAAACACATTAATTTATGTATTCTTTTTATGGTTTTAGATTACAATTCTGTTTCAAATGTTTTTCAAATTTGATTTGGGTATTTTCTATGGTTTAGATAGTTGGCATTTTTCGCATATCTGTAGATAACATATGGTAATTTGTAAAGTTTGTTAACCTAACTTATTAATACCTTGTTACCCAATTTAATTTGTTTCATCATAGTCATTTTTTTATAAAGGAGATTATTTTATTTGGATAAACAATTTATTTATTGTAAATTTCATTAGTTACTGGATTAAATTTTATATAAAAGTAATCTTGCTAGAAAGTGACGTGTCATCATTACAACTGATGGAATGTGGAAAAGTGCCGAAATTAAATAAATGAAGTATGATAACCTTTATAGTTTGTAGTTAAAATATGACTACAAAACATATATTTACTTTGATCTCGTAATTTAATTGTAAAATGCCCGAGAACTCTATTGACATCGAGTTCCCTGTTGGGGACCTTCTACCAAAAAAGGAAACAGAAGTTACTTCATTTTTATCAAAATATCCAAATTATGATGGAAGGGACGTCGTAATTGCCATATTAGACTCTGGTGTAGATCCTGGAGCACCTGGGCTTCAAAAAACTTCAGATGGAAAGGTTAAAGTAATTGAGAGATTTGATTGTAGTGGCTGTGGTGATATATCACTTTCTGGGCCTGTTGAAGCTGCTAAAGGGGGTTTTCTAACTGGACTTACTGGGCGTAAATTAAAGATTCCATCAAACTGGCCAAGCCCTCAAGGTGGATATCGATTAGGTGTTAAATCTGCCTTTGACCTCTACCCTGAGAAGCTTAAGAAAAGAATTCAAGATGAACGCAAGGAAAAGTTTTGGATTAATCAACATAAGCTAAACATTGCTCATGTTACCAGAAACTTAGTGAGTTTTGAAGAAGGAATTTCAGAAACAGCAACTCTCACTGATGATGAGAAATTAACCAAAGAAGAATTGGAAGCCAGGGCAGATGTATTAAATATGATAGATAAAAAGTATTTTGATGCTGGACCAGTATATGATTGTGTAGTATTTAATGATGGAAGAAAATGGAATGCATGTGTTGATACTACTGAAGAAGGCAACTTAGAAAAGTGCAAACTTTTGGGAGAATACTCCAAAACTCATGATTTTACAATATTGACTGAATTAGATCAGTTAAATTATAGCATTAATGTTCATAATGATGGGGAGACACTAGAGTTAGTTGGCTATTGTTCCAGTCATGGTACCCATGTTGCTTCTATTTCTGCAGCATATTTTCCTGATGAGCCAGAAAAAAATGGTATTGCACCTGGTGCCCAAATAGTAGCATTAACAATAGGAGACGGTCGTTTGGGTTCAATGGAAACTGGCACATCATTAGTTAGAGCAATGATAATGCTAATGAAACTTTCAGAAACCAAGTCAGTCCACATTGTCAACACTAGTTATGGAGAGCATGCCCACTGGTCGGATTCTGGACGTGTGGGAAGTTTAATGAGTGATATAGTCAACAAACATGGACTTATATGGGTAGCATCTGTAGGAAACAATGGCCCTGCTCTTAGTACTATTGGTTGTCCTCCTGATATCCATCTGGACACTATTATTGGTGTTGGAGCATATGTTTCTCCTGATATGATGGTAGCAGAATATTCTATGAGACAAAAATTAAATGGAATGTCCTACACTTGGTCTTCAAGAGGGCCTACCACTGACGGAGGTTTCGGGGTAAGCATTTGTGCCCCGGGCGGTGCAATTACGTCGGTACCTAATTTCACATTACGCAGCTCACAATTAATGAATGGAACATCGATGGCTGCACCATATGTATCCGGTGCAATAGCAATTATTTTATCAGGTTTGGATAAGACAAACAAGGAGTGGTCACCTTATAGTGTAAGAAGAGCTTTAGAAAGTGGTGCCATACGTGTAGAAGATGTAGAGCCTCTAGCCCAGGGCCAGGGTCTCCTACAGGTTGAAAAGACTTTTGACATTTTAAACAAGTTTCACAACAGTCCAGAACGGTTTGTAAGGTTCCAAATAAATTGTGGTCTCTCTGGTGACAAAGGAATTTACATTAAGTGTGTGGGCAAATGTCCTAGTCATGAGTGGCCAGTAGACATTGAACCGTTTTTCTTAGAAAGTAATGAAGTAGATGCAAATTATAAAATACAATTTAATCAGCACCTGTCGTTAACTTGTGGAGCTGGATATGTAAGTTATCCAAAACATTTGGATCTCACTAATATGGCCAGAAGAATTTCTATTAAAATTAGCACGGATTCTTTGAAAGCTGGCGTGCATACCACAAGTGTGGATGCCTACGACAGCGGAATTTCAGGGAAAGGACCGGTTTTTCGGATTCCTATCACCATTCTCAAACCTCAAGAACTTGATCCGGTTTCTTTTACGTTTATTGCCGATAAAGTAATTTTCCATCCGAATACAATTAAGCGTCACTTCTTTGTGATACCAGAAAACGCAACTTGGGCTGTTTTTCGCATGAGTTGCCTTGATTCGAATTGTAATGGAAAATTCGTACTGCATTGTATACAACTAATACCGAAAAGAAGTTGCAAATCGTTGGAAACTAATAAAGCAATAACGATATCGAATAATACCGAGAACGTTCAAAGTTTCCCTGTAAAGAGTGGCTATATGTTAGAGGTGGTCATTGCTAAATACTGGGCCAGTTTAGGGGACATGACTGTTCGATATTCGGTATCGTTTCATGGTATTAAACCTAGACAACCGACCATAAACATGCACTGCGCCGATGGAATATACAGGGTGGACGTAGCAACACTGAGAGGGGAAGAAATCGTACCAACTATAACACTTAAAAATGCTGTGCAGATTTTAAAGCCGTCTGAAGTTAAAATAAAACCTCTAACACAAAGAGACGTTATTCCTCCTGGTAGACAGATATATGAACTTATTTTAACATACCATTTTCATCTTATTAAAACTACAGAAGTTTCACCGAAAAATCCACTGCTGAGCAATATGTTGTATGAATCACATTTTGAATCCCAATTGTGGATGATTTTTGATGGAAACAAACAATACCTGGGTTGCGGAGACGCATACCCTTCTAAATATTCTTTGAGACTAGAAAAAGGCGAATACATTATAAGAACACAAATTCGTCATGATCGAAAGGATTATTTAGAAAAATTAATTGATACGCCTTTGTTGCTTAGTCAAAAACTAACAAACACTATAAGTTTGGACGTATTTGGGACATTTAATGACGCCATAATAAATGGAAAAAAGGCAGTATTTGGGCCGAGTTTGAGTCCAACAAATGTGCCTCTATATATAGCACCAATGGCCCCAGATAAATATAACGTTAAACAACAAAACACAACTCATTATTTATCAGGCTTCATAGTATATGCTAAAGATGATTTAGGCAGAAGGGTAGATACATACCCATTCAAGTATGTTTTTCATCAAGGAGGTCCAATCAAAAGGTCTCCGCCGCCAGTTAAGTATGAAAGAACAAGAACAAAAAAAGAAGAGTACAAAGAAATTTTGAGAGATCTAAAAACGACGTGGATATCAAAAATGGAAACTCAAGAAGATGCCGAAAGATTGTATGAGGAAGTAAAACGAGAATTTCCGGACAATCCTCAAGCACACGTCCACATGTTACAATTTCTTGACCCTATGGATGTAAAGAAACAACTGCCCGGATTAAATAGAGAAGACATTCAAAAATACAACGTCCAAGACATACAAACCAAAATTTTTCCTATATGTCAAGCAACCATAGGGAGTATAGATCAGAATGCCCTACTTGCTTATTTTGCCTTGAAGTCCGATAATAGATTGGACGCTGTTAAAATACGAAGCGTTATGGAAAGACAAAGAAGCGCCCTTATCGAAACCTTGTGCAGAAAAGGAATCGGTTTATGTAAACTTTATCAGTATGTGCAGTTTGAAGCTGGGCCCGCGAGAAAGGTAAGCAAAGAAGAAATAGCAAATGTATGGAGGGAACTTAGCAAATTCACAGATCCAAATGATCGTAATGCAGCCACAAATGTATCGGTATTCGCCTTTTGGCACGCTGCTGCACACAAACACTACGGGAGACTGTTGAGGTATTTCTTACGCCATCAAGAGGACAAAGGATATTTTAAGGAAATGGATGAAAGATGCGTTGAACTTTGTGAACTGTTAGAGTGGTCCTATATAGTAAAATATTTACAGAACAACATGAGTTCTAAATACCCAACAGACTATAGACCGTTTTGAAATAGTTAATACTGTTATTTAAAATTTAAGCTTAAATTTATTTTAACTGTAAATAAATGACGATTTTGCGGTACTGCCAGTATGTGTTTTGTCATTTACTTATCTTTTTTGTCAATATAGTGGAGAGTGAGAAAAAATAAAATTAAAAGTTTCTTCAATTAAGTATCAAGTATAAAGAAAAGAAACACTAATTTGGACATATGTTCCTATATATTAGAAAAACAGACATAAAACTTACTAAACGTACAAAAGTAGTTCATTACAAAAGCTTTTGTAGTCCTAGGGTGTCTCTGAGCATCTGATTCCTTAAGTTCCATAAGGCATTTAGCACTTCTTCGGGTTGTTCATATTTCTTTCCCAACCACGTTGCCACATGAGTGAGTTTATCAGGGTCTGGCGGGGGCACAGTCTCTTTTGTGACATTTAATGTCCTTTCCCAAGGTGTTATGTACTTATTATCAGCTTGAAGACCTTCTATATACCTTTGAAAAATGCTTTTTAAAAATTATATTAATAAAAAAAAATATTTAACTGACTTAATATAGGCCTCTGAATGTAGAACCCTCTGAGGTCTTGGAGGAACAGATATAAACATGGGTTCCGGTTGTTTGACTGCAGCAGCTGGCGGATGTGACGTGGAAGCTAAAATAATTTTATTAATAAATCAGAAAAAAACTTTTTATATGTAATGAAAAGAAATAACCTCTGTATAATATTCAACAAATTTCTTTTTACCTGTCGTGCTCGAAGTTGAATGGTTACCAGCAGTAGAATTGAAAGTACTACTGGCTGCTGATTTTCCGCCCGCAAGAACAAAAAATTCTAATATTAAACTTGGATTTTATTTTCAATGATTTACCCANTACTGGAGTATCATTCTGAAATTATATATATATTTTTTATTAAGCACTTTCTTTTATTATGCTATACAGACCTCAACCTCCATGACTTCTTCTAGTTCTCCTTCTTCTGTGTCAGAACGTTCGTCTCGTAGAGCTCCGGTAACTGCAGAAAGTTACGTACTGGTTCTTAATCGCTTATTTCGAATTCGTTCGCTAGTAATTTTATTAATAAATCAGAAAAAAACTTTTTATATGTAATGAAAAGAAATAACCTCTGTATAATATTCAACAAATTTCTTTTTACCTGTCGTGCTCGAAGTTGAATGGTTACCAGCAGTAGAATTGAAAGTACTACTGGCTGCTGATTTTCCGCCCGCAAGAACAAAAAATTCTAATATTAAACTTGGATTTTATTTTCAATGATTTACCCAAAACCATTTTATCTACTGACCATCGTTAACAAAAATCCAAAAAGAAAAGGAGCCAAAACTACTGCTCAAAAGGTTCTAATAAAATCTCATCGTTTTTACAATTAAAAACAATTATATAAAAAAAATGTAATAAATTAAAGAAAGACGATTCTATCATCTTTGAATTTATACTACTGGTTATTAATCCTTTATTTTGTAGTACCTACTTATTAAAGGTTTAAACTACAAAGTACATGCAAGAAGTTTTAGATGTCCTATTGTTTAAATTAAAATGAACACCATTATCAATAATTTACTTACGTGGATTAGGTGTGGCGGTTGGGGTAGGTCTTGAAACATTAGGTTGAGGTTTGCTAGATGGCTTGAAATTCCTGTTTAAATCAACAATCTCTTAATTGCTCCTGATGAACTAATAACAACGGAGACTTACTTGCTTCTATTTTCAGGGGGAACACATCGACCATTCCCCTTGTTAATGTGCATGTCCCTAACATGTCTTAATAGACGGGTAATATTCGGGAAGGGTTGCACGTTCTTTTTATTATTTCTGCCACAATTCTTCCACTGGCAATGGAATTCGGAGTCGGGATTCTTTTGGAAGAAACTTTGGACATGACCCTGCTGGTTATCCCTGTCCTTGATAGTGTGCTCAATACAGTCTGATATGTCTTCGAATTGGAAGTCACAACCGTCCCAGAGGCATTCGTACACCTGAAAAGACGAGACAACACGTTTTAAGAGTCCGTTCGAAAAACCTAAAATAATACTTGTTAGTTAATTAAATTAATCATGTGTTAATTAGAAGATGACATTTTAGGCATTTAAAATTTAGGACATTTATATTTTACTTTAGAATTTGACTGAACAGAAAAGTACTTGAGATTAGTTTACATATCTCTCAATATAATTTTTTTTGTAATTAATAACCACTGCTAAGTATCATTAAATTAATTAGAAAAAATTAGTTATGCATTTATTTTTCGAATGTGCTATAATGTAATCAGAATAATTATTATCTAGTGATTAAATAGTAACATTAAAATTAATAACAAATACCAATACGTCACCAGTGCCGTAGCAGTATTTTTTTTATACACAACCACTAATTGTAAGTAGTAGTTAATAACATGATTAGAAAAATTAAAATTAAAGCTTAATAACAAACAATATAAAATCAAAAACGACGAAACTAGGGATAAATAAACTACATCAATCAAAAAACCCAAATGAAAATAAAAATAATAACAGCCGATAAAAAAGCACCGGAGTCTTCATCCGACGTCGTTATATATATATATATATATATGTGTTTGTGATTAATGTGTTAGGTTTGTGTAATTATACAGAGTATCAAAAAAAAGGCGCACATCAACAATACCGTGTTATATCCATGCATATCATAAAAGAGAAGAGTATAACTTTGGTTTGTACTTACTATGTCGACGGGGGGCGGCGGCGGCGGGGGCGTGGGATTGGCAATCTCGTCGATGAGCAGCTGTGCTTTGTTCTCTTCATTCATTTTCGTCGCTTTCTCTTCCCAAGACTGTTTCTCGATCGCAGGCAACGAACGCCACTCATTACCGACAATTTTACTGATTTCACCGAAGTTTGAATCGGGATTGTTTTGCACTACTTGCTTTCGCACCTCCCGTGAGTACAGTATATACCCCGTTACTACTTTGTTCTTGTTTGATTTCTGCGGGCGGAGAAGGCGAATTAATGAACAACCGAACTCTGTGGGCGTTTCTCTTTTTATAATTGCTTTTGCCAAAGGATATCATAATCTTTAAAACTTATAGAAATTCCAATCTGCAATTGAAAAGTCTCCTTTTGGAGTGTAGAAATTCCATGTTGCAGACTCAAATTCGAAACGCATTTTCACCTTCAATTATATTTCTTTTTGTTCAACCCACCCCGCCCAGCTCAGTAAAAATTTATTTAAAATTGTAGTCCACAGAACTCAGTTTAAAATATAATTTATTATTATTGAATGATTTTATTATCTTTCAATTTGAGTTTAAACTTCATATTAATTTTTTTTCTCTCAAGGATTCGCTTATAATTTTGACGGGATTTTAAATTTATGGATAGTGGGGCCCCGCACATGTGAAATGTCCGCCGTGTGTCAAGCCCTCCACCTTGTCGCAAGACTCCTCCATATTATTATGTTTATGCCAAACAAAATATAAAATTAACTGAAAACGAATTAAGTAACAACGCAGAGCTAACTGAACGAAATAGAGACAAAGAAAACTAAATACTTTTCGTTCAGGGAATAATAAAATCGATAATAAATAATAATAAAATCATAATAATAATAATACTTAACAATAATAATAAAAAATAAAAACGCTTCGACTACCAGAGAAATAAAAACACATCCACATAAAATTGTTCACATACACACGACACACGCCATGCCCATAGCTCGCTACGTGATTGGTTGCAGCTAACTTACCTTTTTAGTCGTTGTGGGAGTAGGGGTGCTGGTGGGGGTGGGAACAACAGAAGTTGGGATTTCCCCCGATCCTACTGATGGGGGACCACCGTCTAGAGAATCTTCCATCAACATCTCCATGTCGCTCATTTTTGTTAAGACTGGAGACTGCTCCTAGAATAAACTTCTATTTAATAAATGTATCAAAGTTTAAAGGCAGTAAGCTACTAATTAGTTGTAAGTGTACAAAAAGGGCTTAAAAGTTAGTTACTCACAACTTCAACGGGTATACTTTGGGGTTTTGCCGTCTCTGGGTTGGTCTGGGCAATATCGCTACCCACCTGTAACATTTTGTGTACAATCGGAAAGAGAGACATCCGATAAAATTGAAAGCATTATGTTTGTAATAAGTGTTAAAGTATGTAAACTATTTATTACTTTCCTTCATTCAAGTCAACAACGTTAGATTAGTGACCTTGGAAAATCATAGTAATATACACTTGTATGAATAAACATGTTAATGATAAGGAAAAAAAGGAAACCACATAAGCAGTTAATATTTTACCATGTTTACCTTTGGTGGATTTATAATTTTTGGGAAGTAATAGACCTCGTCTTCTGTCACGGCACTGCAGTGTGTGTGCTTCTTGAGACCGTCGGGAGACAATTTTTTTATTTGTCTGTTTAATTCGTCGTACATCGATGTACAAATGTAGACGTCTGATTCATGAATTTCTGTGATACGACCTGATAAGAAATACATAATAACGTCTTTAAGATAATGTCAAGTACTTTATATTTACATGAAATATATTCGTTGTAATCCAAAACGCTACACTTTCCCATTATACCAACAAGAGGGTTTGTATCTTCCAATGTTGATAAAAATACCTCTTGCTTATAGAACATTCTGTGAGGGTTTAGAGGGATTTCCATCGGAGTAACGAACCAGGGACCTCGAAAGTAACCCTTACCACTAAATGTAGGTAAAAGTTATCAGTTATGTAAATATTAGAATTTTTGGTGTCTTACTCTTTTGTGTCCCAAATGGCATCAATCTGAGCAATCATTTGTCGTCCACCTTCAGCAGCTACATAGACAAAATCACCTGTTTTTATAACTCCACTGCAAATGGTGTTGTACTGCTCGTAATACGTGTTACCATCGTCGATTCCCATACTCGAAAATGCAACCACGTTCTGTACAAAAATAAATAATTTTCGCTTTTTCTATACAACGTTTATCACTTACTGGTTTTTCTTTTTCTATCAATCTCTCCTGCTCTTGTAATTCGGCCAGTTCATCCTTGTGCTTCTCCACACGTTCTCTAAAGACAGACATGACTCTCTTGGGTTCCAATGGGACTTCCCTGGAAATCAAAGTCAAATCCTGTGTTTCTGGAAATACCTTCATTTTCTTAAAACTTCTACTTTTTGTGCTGTAACGTGATTCACAGACGTAAACATCCTTCAGATCAAAACCTAATAAGAAACAAATAAATTACCAAAATAATTTTAATGTAAATGATAAAATACCTTCAGGTCTCATGGTAAAGTACTGCTTCACATTCATGACAGCGCATCTGCCTTTGACTTCCTCCAAGGGCACTGCTATGTGTTTATCTGATTTAAACACCTCTCTTTCCAAAAATTTCCTTGTTGTTACATGATACGTTTCTACAGGTCTTAAGTAATAATTTCCGTAAAGCATCTTTTGTCCTTCATTATTAGTCCAAAGCCGTTCAATGAGCAGTATGTGGGGCTCCAATCCTTTTTCTTTGGGGTCTATATAAATAAACTCTCCAATTTTGAATGTTTGTTGGTCCATCGTCATAGATTCTCCAGTTCCACTAGCACTCGTACTAGAGTTCGATAAAGTAGAGTCTTTTATAACTGAATCGTCAGAACTTCGAGTCTCGCTTTCGTCTTCTAATGACTCCTGGAGGATTTTACTTTGGCGTATGGACTCGACAGCCGACGTAAGATGCATTAAAGTATAACTTAACGCTGGAGAATGTAACAGTTCACCGTTCTTGCACAATTCGTCTCGTTGTTTAATAAAATAAGATTGCAATTCGATGGAGTCTTCAAAGACTTGCGAGTCCGAACGAGATAGGCGGCGTGCCCTTTCGCAGCAAGCAAAGAAATCATCTTGGAACGTATCCAACCTTTTGTAAAGGCCCTTGTCCAAACGACGTTTTATTAAGTCCAAAGACAACGCTCGGACCCTGGAACAAGGAGTCTTGTCGTTGTCGTTGCTGCCGTGTAACAATAGAAAAGTGACACACGTTTTGATGGGATAGTGAAACATTAACATCAATAATAATTACAAACAGAAAAGGAAATGATTTAGTTTTAGAAGTGCAACATGTATATCAATCGTTATATACATATATTTTACTAAAAGAGAAATAAATGACATGTGTACCATCACAATGACCTTCTTCAATAAATTAAAGAAAATGAATGCTACTTACTTTTTTCCATCGACCTCGTCATGCTCAGGGAGCTCTGCCATGGAATCTGAATAACACCGTTCTTCGGCGTCCTGGTGGTTGTAGACGGTAGTAAAAAGGTTGAGAAGAAGATCTTGGACGGCTGCAGGAACGTCAGGAACGGCGTCATCTTCTTCCTTCAGATGATTCTTCGTTTGAAGACAAACTCTTTGAAGAAGTAACGCGTCTTTATATATTTGAGAATCCGGTTCGTTATATTTACAAGCATTGTCAAACATTAGATTGAAATCGTTAAAAAGATCGTCCAACGTTTCGTACAAGTTCGATTTCATCTTCTGAGCGATCTTTTCCATGTCTATAGGATTTTTTATCACCTCGTAATAGTCAGGGTAGTCCTGTAAAAGTTGATAATTATATACTTAGAAAAAAACTGACAAAGTTTTTTTACATTTTTTGATGGCAGCTTCATAAAGATTGCCGAAAGTTGTCGATTGGCTTTGGGTTCTTTGTAGTCTCTAACAGTTTCGTATAGGAAACGACAATTTTTTTCTACTGGCGATAATACTTTCCTAGGTTTCGAACTGTGAAAGGAAATATTTAAAAAATATAAATAATCAATGATAATGTATAAGTACTAACACTCTCAGGACAGTTTTGCGGGTTTCTTTTTCGGGTGTTGGAGGGTTTTGTCCCACTTTTTCCATTAACACTTTTTCTAATAAATTTGCATCTTCATATATCGTTGAGTTTTCTTCATTAAACTGTCGGCAATTGGAAAACATTAATTTAAAGTCGCGTATAAGGTCGTTTTCGTTAGAATACTGCTCAGCCCTAATTTTCTGTTCAATTTCAATAAAATCAATTGGCTCTTCTATAACTTCATAATAATCCGGATACAACTTCTTTGAAGGTTTTTCCATAAACCCTAACAAAGGTTTCCTACCATCTTCGCACTATATAATTAAATATTACTTAGAAAAGAACGCTCTTTGGGAATGAAAAATCGTAATTATTACCGTGTAGTCTAAAAGATGCTTTGCTATTGCATGTAGTTTTTTCTTAAGTGGTATGGGATCTTTGGGGGGTCTACCGCGAGTAAGCGTGCCCGATCCAGTCTGTGGAGTTTTGGACCTGGCGCCGGGTCTCTTACGATTCTTTTCCTCGTTATCCAGTTCGCTGTCTGTGTCCTGGAACAGGACAAGGGCGCTTGCGCGAGTCTTCGACCGAAACGCAAAATCGTTAGTACAAGCAAAGCGAGCAATGTTGAATTTTAATAAAAAAAAAAACGTCTGAAATCCATAAATTACAAAAATACGTGACACATTTGTACATAATATATAGAGATGCCACCCAAGCTTCTAAAAATTAATAGAAAATTCTATTTACATGAAGAAAATGAAGACTGACAAACATAATTTGCAGTACGTGTATAGAAAATTCCTGACTGAAAAAGAAGATGAGTAAAAAGTGAATGAAATGAATGATTAAAATGTTAAACCAATACACAGAGGTAAAATTAGTAATCCATGTTTTAAATAAACCTTCAAAACTCAGAAAAAAGATAATAAAATTATATACTTGGAAAGTGCGTGTATATAGTAACAATGTTAGTACGGAATAAGCAAAGCAGTGCATACCTTTCGGGTTTTGTTAGTGACTCTGTGAGTTACCTGATCTAGATCAAGTAGTTCTTGCACTTTTGCTTGCATCACCTTCTGCAATTTAACGGCGTCCTAAGGAATAAAGAAAAAAAAATAATAATTAGATACTGGCAATTTATATTAGAATGCAGCAGTGTAAATATGTTATAACATACTTTGTAAAGTTTAGATGTTGGTATGTTGTATTTTTTCGCGTTTTCGAACATGATATTCAAGTCGCCCGCAACTTCGCTGACGGTACCGTAGGCGCAGTTCATTAATTTTCTTCTAATTTGGGTAAGTGACAGGGGATTTTTAATTTCGCGATAATAATCGGGATAGAAACGTCGAGAAGGTAATCTCCAAAAGGGGTCGCTTAATAAAACGCCTGCATTACCGGAAACGGTTCGAACTGCTTCAAACAACCTCCATTGGGGGTTGTCAAGATCTACTGGAGGATCATTCTGAAATTATATATATATTTTTTATTAAGCACTTTCTTTTATTATGCTATACAGACCTCAACCTCCATGACTTCTTCTAGTTCTCCTTCTTCTGTGTCAGTCTCTTCGTCTCGTAGAGCTGCGGTAACTGCAGAAAGTGACGTACTGGTTCTTAATCGCTTATTTCGAATTCGTTCGCTGGTCTTTGCCCCAGACAATTTTCCATGTTCTATTTCAATTTTCTTACTCTGTATAATCTAAAGATGAACGTGTAAAATAAATTACGGTTTTCATTATTACTTTTAATAAAAGTACCTTTTTTAGTAACTTAGCATCCCTATAAATTTGTGACCCTGGTTCATTAAATGAAGCAGCATTTTTAGTCATTAAGAGCAGATCTTTTTCTAATTCATTCAAATTACTATATTCAGTACTTTGAATCTTAACAGCTATTGCTCTTAGATCAATAGGATTCTCTATGACATCATAATACTCAGGATATTTCTTTTTTGATGGCAAAAGTTGAAAAGCAGTGTGTAAGGGTCTGTTTTCTGCATCAGTTGCTGTCATTACTGCTGTAAAAAGCTCTTCATAAGGGTTCATATCTTCATCTGGATTTGTTGAAGTCTCTGAAGCCTCTTCATCATCTTTCTTAACATCTATAACTGGGGTTGAGGCCTTCCTTCCAACTTTATTTACTTTTAAGATAAGTTTGCCTTTTGAATCATTTTCTTCTCCATCTTTTGGATCCAACATTCTAAAATAATGCCACTTATAATAAATAAAACAATAAATGTTTGTTTAAAAAAGTCCAACACAGTAATTTTAAAATTACAAGTGAATCTGGTTTGATAATATATATGCATTTGATTTGTTGTTTATAAGTAACAACATACTTGTTCTTGTTGGTGAGAAAAAGATCCCATAGATCACAAGCATCTCTGTACTCTTGGGAGCTTCTTTTATAAAATGCCTTTGCATTGCTAACGATGAGTTCAATGTCAGTCTGTAGATCTTCTATGTCTTCATACTCTTCAGTTTTTAGTTTCTGTTGAACTTTAAGTAAATCAATAGGATTATTCACGACCTCATAATAAGCAGGCTCCTGTCTACGTTTTGGCACTCTTATAAAAGCATCACAGAGTAACAAGCCGTCCTCTTTTTTATGATTTCTAATTGATTCATAAAGTTGTTGGCATTGTTCCATCTACGTAAATTAATTAAATAATCACTATTTAGTGGAATGTTATGTAAAAAAGTGTTATACATACAGGATCTTGTTTTTTGTTTCTTTTTCTTGGAGGGGCACCACTAGAACTGGCTTCTATGCTGTCTAAGGAATCATCCTCTTGACCCCTGCTTGCTATGGAACTTGTTCTTCGCCTTTTACTCATTTTTGATAGAAGATTTGACCGATATTCTAGATATCTCGTGGTAAACCTACTCATATAAACAGCAATGTATTTAATGGCCACTTGGCGACCAGTCTTTTCATTTTCTTCTCAACTTGATTTTGAAAAACACTGTTCACTTGCCTTACTATTTTAATTAGTAATACATATTTGAATACCACTTTTCCGTTACTAAATGGATAAATAATTAACTGTTTTTGTATACAACCGTTAATTTTTATGAAAATCGATTGTTATTAATCCAACTTATACATAACGTCAAAATAGCATTGCAAAATGCGCATGTGCAATTGCAGAACTGTATACAGGGGGTTAAAAATTTGTTAATAATGAGTACAGGGTGATGTTTTTAAACAATGAATATTGTGGAAATTAAAATGAATAGTTTATTCTTTTAATGCTGTTGTAATTATTTCAAAACCGTTAGTTTTAAACTAGTATAATCACAACTATTTAAATATGTGAGTATTAAGTTCAATTAAAAGAATATGTGGATACATAAAAATAATTTATTTTTCATTTAATTACAGACCCTAAATGTTATACTACAAAAGATCTTCTTCTGCTCTGATATATTCTCCTATGTCTGCCTGGTGAAAGCAAACTATAGCTAAAGGATCTGAATGTTTACATTCAGCAGTGGATTTAGCAGCTACCCCAAAACCTAAAGGTATATCTGACATGCTAAAAATAACAACTCCTTGATACTTCTCAGTGCTTTCACTAATTCTTCCTAAGCCTGACTTCTTTATATGATGCCCATATAGAAATTGTTGTTCTGCTGAAGGTTTAAGCCAAATTTTGCACTAAAATTGGAATAGTTAATTTAAAAATAACCTGATATCATTAACAGTACCTGTGCATAGGGAGCAAGATAGTTGAGAGCAGTTATGTTTAAACGAAATTTGTTTGATTTTGTAAATTTGCCAAAGCATGTGCCTAATGATATCAAATGGTCTGGACCAACTGTTTCTGCTAGTTTTAGGACTTTCTCTGATACATAAAACACTCTGTCCTTTTTTTCTCTAAAGCAGTATATCCCATCAGGTCGTTCAATGAGAAGTTTTATATTAGAACCAATACTGAAAAAGGAAACAAAAGGAAAGTGATGAGCAACATGTGAGTAATTTTTGGTTTAACTTACTATTTACACAATTTTTCAAACAAAATTTTAGTTCTTTCCTCTGATAGCCTCTTCATCGTCGTTCTATTTTATTATATCAGTAACCAATTATTATTTCTGATTAAATAAGTAGCAGTAATTACAATATTTGAATACTTCTGCAGTAATGTAAGGTTACACTTATTTTTTAGCATTTTTGTGGTTATGTTTCATAACCTATAATACAAATTTACAAATTCTTCTAGAGAAATAAGGAAATTTGTTTATTAAAGTATGATTAAAATGTTTTCGTTATTTATTAGAGCAAGGTGTTTAAAACCAATGGCTGTGAGAATTATGTATAATTGTTCCTGTGTTTCTCGTAAAATTAGTGGTTCAAATAAAATTAGTGCTCCAACTGTGAAATTTAAAGGAAAATTGATCAGAAATAACGATTTTATAATGTAAGTAAGCCAAAGTATGCCTTTTTATTTATCTATGGAGAAATGTACGTTCCTGTTTTGATTTATTACATTATTGCAGAATTTCATGCAGGAATTTCAGTGTAAATGAGAGTATTGAAAGAGAGACCCCTTCTGCAAGTAAGGAAAACATTAAACTGGTTAATCTTGTAACAAATTTACATCGGAGTATCAATAAACATGGTCGAGTTTTTCTAGATCAAATTTATGAAGTTTTAAATTCAAATTTAGGTAAGCAATTTTTAAAATAGTGATTTACTGATTTATTTAACATTATTTTATTGTAGCTCATTTATCAGAAGAAGATGCAGATTTGTTGTTGCAGTGTTGTGGTCATTTGTTGCCTGATCAAATACCTGAAGTTCGAGCAGCTCTTTGTGATCATGTAAAAGAGAATTTAACAAAAACAGGAGTCCCTTTTAATTACCACTTGTACATTAGTGTTTGCACAGAAAATCAGCATTTGATACAATATGAAAATCTACTAGGAGAAGTAGATAAAGCAGATGTCAAGCTATATAAATTAATCTTAGAGAATGTATGTACAGCAGGAGACACTTTCAAAGCTATTAATGTGTTGGAAGAAATGAAAAAGCAAAATATGCCTGCTGATGAAGACACTTTTAATTCATTAGTCCTAGCACATGCTATAAATGGGTAAGTGTATTTTTTTGAAAACATGAATTATAAAAATATTCAAATATTTTATTGTGATTTTAGTGGTCTTAATGATGCTAATACTGTTTTGGAAACAATGAGAAATATTGATATTTTTCCTTCAGTTTCCACATATGTAGCTCTGCTGACAGGTTTGGCAAAACGTGCTAGTGAAAAGCAGTTTGAAGCTGTTGTTGAACTTCTTCCTCCTAACAGTTTAACTGAGAAAATGTTCCTTCAAATTGTTCAGGAATTAAGTCAAAATGATAATCAGGATTGGATGAGACATGTAAGATTAAAAGGATAGCTTTTTACAAATTTTTAATTATTTTGTTACTTTAAGTTGTTTGTGAAAAGGGATTTTACTGATTTTTCAAAACAAAGTTTGAAGTATTTGGATAATTTATGTATACACCTTATTTACTTAGAGAAGCCTTTGACTGCAATAACTATATATTCTAAACTTGTCCAACAACAACCTGATATACTACAGGGGAATTATGGAATGTTTTTGTTAAGGGAAATGGTTAAAAAGGGATGTGTAAGTCTCTAATTATTTTTTATACTATGTGTGCTAATTTATTGTACTATTTAAGAGTTCTAAAGATATTTTGGAATCAGCTAAAATACTTAAAGAATTAAATCTGAACAGTATGGCCTATGTTAAAGTTACTGAGACTGCTCTGAGAAGAAATTATCATGTTATTGCTTGGGATTTGGTAAAAAATATGTCACCATTGCGGCCCCACTATTTTTGGCCCCTTTTAAAAAGTGCTGCTAAAGAAAATGGAGAAGTAGGTAATTTCTTGTTCTTGCTGGGGAACAGAAATATTTTTTTTCAATGTAGTAATTGTTTAGGTGTCTGTGAAGCTATAGGAAAAATGATGAATTTAGGTGTTAAACCTGACGAAGAGACTTGGGAATTATATATATTGCCCCACTGCGATTTTAGTAATCCTTTAGATTTGATGAACAGACTGAAAAAAATGGGTTTTACTTCGAAAGAGTTGTTTACGCCATTAATAAAAGTTCTCATAAGAAAAGATGCAATTCAAGAGGCTGTAAAATTAGGTAAATGCTAACAATGTATGTTGTTTTTGATAAAAAATATTTTTGTCTTTTAGTTTCAGTTTATGATGGCCCCATAGATGCCAGCGCCTTAAATAACTTATCCAGGGCATGGATTATTAATAAAAATGCCGATAGTGTGGTACCTATATTGCAAAAAATTTGTGAAGTGAACAGCAGACAAATAGATTGGGTGGGGCAGTTCTTGGAAAAAGTTTGCAGTTCCTGTAGAAGTGAAGACGACTTTAAAAAATTTCGCGAGTTACTGAAGGTATTTACTAAACGTATTAAATAATTGTTTGTATATTTATAAAGTTGTAATCATTTATAGTTTATCAAGTCTAAAAGATTAAGACTCTCCTCTGACATTGCAGATGCATTATCGAATGTTGTTCAATTAAAGTGTAAAGCAGAGAAATTAAGGAAGAGCATTGATCAACTTATAGACACCCTTTTGGATGTATCTTTCAAAACTGAAGAGCATCATATTCCACACCCTGNGAAAACATAATACATTAAAGAAAACGATTCTGGTAATTCACATTTTAATTTTGGAAATTCTTAAATATTATAATCGTATTTTTTTTTCTAGGATTTTAACGGATTACCAAGGAACAAGTTACAGACTCTTTGCAATAATTGGTCGAAAAATGGACAATTATGTGAACTAGAGACGTTAGCAAAAGCTGTTAGAAAAATCCCAAGTCATACAATTGAAAAATCTGTCATATATCATGCTATAATGAAAATATACAGTAAGTAAAAAAATTTGATGTGCAAGAAGTAATTTTATTTGTTCTTATTAACTTATTTTTTACAACTCATACAGGTAACAATAATGATTGTGAGTCAGCCGTGGCCTTTTGGTCAAGTTTAGAAACTGAAGACGATTTTGGCAGAACTTCACTAGACAGCCAGCTAGTTTCATTACTTAAACGATGTAAATATGACCTTCCAGATAGATTAAAATCAAAAGTGGCTGCTACAACCTAAAACAAGGTATTATTTAGTAAATATTTCATTACGGGTACTCAGTGGAGTATTGTTTAAACAATTCCTATATCCAGGTCCTTTTTAAAGTAAAATGTTTGAAATGACAATTTTTGAAGTTATTTTGGACATTTGTCTTGTTTGTTTTCGATCGGTCCTGGTAAAAAATAGATTAATAAATTAACGGGAGAATGTAGTGAATAATTTATAAGGTTGTATACAGGGAGATTACAAAACACAGTAGATACTCGGTTATATAACTGAAAAAAAATATCGATTTGTTCACATTAACGAATGTTACATTTAGTATACATACTAAAAGAAATCAGAAATTTTTGTTTTAAAATGTAAAATTTATACGGGAATAAGACGGTACATCTCTGGCAAATACGATTAGAGAAGTATAATTTGGCATAATTAATGTGCTGTTCACATTATGTGGAGTTTTAGTTATGCAATGTTCACACTAGCGAGTGTCAACTGCAATTTATAAAGAGCAACTTCTAATTCTAATCCCAGTACAAAACAGAAATATAAAACATGTATTTATTTTGAGGATTAATTTTTTCGGTATTTTAATTTAATTTTTTAATTAACGCTCCAATATCTCTCAGGTTTTTGCTATACAAAAAGTAATATAGTTTACGTAGTCGTGTATACTTTTGACTGTTAACTACTGTATGTAATATATATGTATAAATGTTTAATGTTGAATGTATTGATTAAGGTGACGCGTTTTCGCCTCCCACGTATAGAAAATATCTATTGTCAAGGATCAATTTTCACAAAATTGCCGGACCTTCATCATCGTCATCATCTGTAAATTACTATTTGTCTTAAAATTTTGGTAGTGACCGAATTTTGCTTTGTAAATAAATTATGCTTGTTATGTAATTTTTATTTATATTTCTTGTACACTATTTCCAGCAAATGTAGTAGATTTTTAAGCAGTGGGACATCGAAATTATGTTAAAATACGTTACCTAAAACTGACGTAATACCCTACTTTGGAAGATGCGATCATAATTATAATTTATACCACATATACACATTAGCATCGTGATATAAAAGCAAAAAAGTTCGTTGTGTTTCGGAGGCGCAGGTTTATTTTTCAAGGGCGATTTGGCGTAATTTTGTGTGCCGCTATAGCAAAAATAACACAGACTATGTAGAGGGGAAAAAGTTTAACAAGTTTTCGTGTTTTCCGTGCCAGTAGATTGACAGACTTTCATCTAGTCGCATAAATTGATTAAAAAAAATAATAAGTGTTTGCAAAAATAGGGTAAGCAACAATCTGTATCACTTCTTTTATACTACAATTGTTTTAATACTGTTAAAATTTAGTTTGTGATGAAAGTGGCTGATAGTGTTGAAGGAGTATAATTTTGTTTATCGCTAGACCTACGAAGAGTAAAAATGAGCGAAAAAACATCTCCGGACACTGTACCTGGATTAGGATTCAAGGATAAGGAAAAGGCTCTTGAAACGCTCAAGAATTTAGAGGGCAGAGATCCCGATTACCAAAAATTGGCCATCAAGGGACTCGTAGGCAGAGCTAAAAGAACTTTAACGTGTAAGTAAACAAAACATTTTTCTCCTTATTTTTGTGTCACTGCAGAAATTCAGAGCATTTATAAATACTCAGAGGTTTATTCTTAGATAACTTTATATTTAACTTGTACAGAGCTGGGTGTATTATTCCATTTAAATAATACGATATTATACTTAAACTTTAACCGTTGTTTATACCAAAATGATAAATTCTACTTTGTTAAATGTATTTTACTGAAATGTTTATCTTTGCATGACTTTTCAAATGCATACACACAAAATATCTTATTTTTAGAACTTTTTAGATANTAATCGGGATAGAAACGTCGAGAAGGTAATCTCCAAAAGGGGTCGCTTAATAAAACGCCTGCATTACCGGAAACGGTTCGAACTGCTTCAAACAACCTCCATTGGGGGTTGTCAAGATCTACTGGAGGATCATTCTGAAATTATATATATATTTTTTATTAAGCACTTTCTTTTATTATGCTATACAGACCTCAACCTCCATGACTTCTTCTAGTTCTCCTTCTTCTGTGTCAGTCTCTTCGTCTCGTAGAGCTGCGGTAACTGCAGAAAGTGACGTACTGGTTCTTAATCGCTTATTTCGAATTCGTTCGCTGGTCTTTGCCCCAGACAATTTTCCATGTTCTATTTCAATTTTCTTACTCTGTATAATCTAAAGATGAACGTGTAAAATAAATTACGGTTTTCATTATTACTTTTAATAAAAGTACCTTTTTTAGTAACTTAGCATCCCTATAAATTTGTGACCCTGGTTCATTAAATGAAGCAGCATTTTTAGTCATTAAGAGCAGATCTTTTTCTAATTCATTCAAATTACTATATTCAGTACTTTGAATCTTAACAGCTATTGCTCTTAGATCAATAGGATTCTCTATGACATCATAATACTCAGGATATTTCTTTTTTGATGGCAAAAGTTGAAAAGCAGTGTGTAAGGGTCTGTTTTCTGCATCAGTTGCTGTCATTACTGCTGTAAAAAGCTCTTCATAAGGGTTCATATCTTCATCTGGATTTGTTGAAGTCTCTGAAGCCTCTTCATCATCTTTCTTAACATCTATAACTGGGGTTGAGGCCTTCCTTCCAACTTTATTTACTTTTAAGATAAGTTTGCCTTTTGAATCATTTTCTTCTCCATCTTTTGGATCCAACATTCTAAAATAATGCCACTTATAATAAATAAAACAATAAATGTTTGTTTAAAAAAGTCCAACACAGTAATTTTAAAATTACAAGTGAATCTGGTTTGATAATATATATGCATTTGATTTGTTGTTTATAAGTAACAACATACTTGTTCTTGTTGGTGAGAAAAAGATCCCATAGATCACAAGCATCTCTGTACTCTTGGGAGCTTCTTTTATAAAATGCCTTTGCATTGCTAACGATGAGTTCAATGTCAGTCTGTAGATCTTCTATGTCTTCATACTCTTCAGTTTTTAGTTTCTGTTGAACTTTAAGTAAATCAATAGGATTATTCACGACCTCATAATAAGCAGGCTCCTGTCTACGTTTTGGCACTCTTATAAAAGCATCACAGAGTAACAAGCCGTCCTCTTTTTTATGATTTCTAATTGATTCATAAAGTTGTTGGCATTGTTCCATCTACGTAAATTAATTAAATAATCACTATTTAGTGGAATGTTATGTAAAAAAGTGTTATACATACAGGATCTTGTTTTTTGTTTCTTTTTCTTGGAGGGGCACCACTAGAACTGGCTTCTATGCTGTCTAAGGAATCATCCTCTTGACCCCTGCTTGCTATGGAACTTGTTCTTCGCCTTTTACTCATTTTTGATAGAAGATTTGACCGATATTCTAGATATCTCGTGGTAAACCTACTCATATAAACAGCAATGTATTTAATGGCCACTTGGCGACCAGTCTTTTCATTTTCTTCTCAACTTGATTTTGAAAAACACTGTTCACTTGCCTTACTATTTTAATTAGTAATACATATTTGAATACCACTTTTCCGTTACTAAATGGATAAATAATTAACTGTTTTTGTATACAACCGTTAATTTTTATGAAAATCGATTGTTATTAATCCAACTTATACATAACGTCAAAATAGCATTGCAAAATGCGCATGTGCAATTGCAGAACTGTATACAGGGGGTTAAAAATTTGTTAATAATGAGTACAGGGTGATGTTTTTAAACAATGAATATTGTGGAAATTAAAATGAATAGTTTATTCTTTTAATGCTGTTGTAATTATTTCAAAACCGTTAGTTTTAAACTAGTATAATCACAACTATTTAAATATGTGAGTATTAAGTTCAATTAAAAGAATATGTGGATACATAAAAATAATTTATTTTTCATTTAATTACAGACCCTAAATGTTATACTACAAAAGATCTTCTTCTGCTCTGATATATTCTCCTATGTCTGCCTGGTGAAAGCAAACTATAGCTAAAGGATCTGAATGTTTACATTCAGCAGTGGATTTAGCAGCTACCCCAAAACCTAAAGGTATATCTGACATGCTAAAAATAACAACTCCTTGATACTTCTCAGTGCTTTCACTAATTCTTCCTAAGCCTGACTTCTTTATATGATGCCCATATAGAAATTGTTGTTCTGCTGAAGGTTTAAGCCAAATTTTGCACTAAAATTGGAATAGTTAATTTAAAAATAACCTGATATCATTAACAGTACCTGTGCATAGGGAGCAAGATAGTTGAGAGCAGTTATGTTTAAACGAAATTTGTTTGATTTTGTAAATTTGCCAAAGCATGTGCCTAATGATATCAAATGGTCTGGACCAACTGTTTCTGCTAGTTTTAGGACTTTCTCTGATACATAAAACACTCTGTCCTTTTTTTCTCTAAAGCAGTATATCCCATCAGGTCGTTCAATGAGAAGTTTTATATTAGAACCAATACTGAAAAAGGAAACAAAAGGAAAGTGATGAGCAACATGTGAGTAATTTTTGGTTTAACTTACTATTTACACAATTTTTCAAACAAAATTTTAGTTCTTTCCTCTGATAGCCTCTTCATCGTCGTTCTATTTTATTATATCAGTAACCAATTATTATTTCTGATTAAATAAGTAGCAGTAATTACAATATTTGAATACTTCTGCAGTAATGTAAGGTTACACTTATTTTTTAGCATTTTTGTGGTTATGTTTCATAACCTATAATACAAATTTACAAATTCTTCTAGAGAAATAAGGAAATTTGTTTATTAAAGTATGATTAAAATGTTTTCGTTATTTATTAGAGCAAGGTGTTTAAAACCAATGGCTGTGAGAATTATGTATAATTGTTCCTGTGTTTCTCGTAAAATTAGTGGTTCAAATAAAATTAGTGCTCCAACTGTGAAATTTAAAGGAAAATTGATCAGAAATAACGATTTTATAATGTAAGTAAGCCAAAGTATGCCTTTTTATTTATCTATGGAGAAATGTACGTTCCTGTTTTGATTTATTACATTATTGCAGAATTTCATGCAGGAATTTCAGTGTAAATGAGAGTATTGAAAGAGAGACCCCTTCTGCAAGTAAGGAAAACATTAAACTGGTTAATCTTGTAACAAATTTACATCGGAGTATCAATAAACATGGTCGAGTTTTTCTAGATCAAATTTATGAAGTTTTAAATTCAAATTTAGGTAAGCAATTTTTAAAATAGTGATTTACTGATTTATTTAACATTATTTTATTGTAGCTCATTTATCAGAAGAAGATGCAGATTTGTTGTTGCAGTGTTGTGGTCATTTGTTGCCTGATCAAATACCTGAAGTTCGAGCAGCTCTTTGTGATCATGTAAAAGAGAATTTAACAAAAACAGGAGTCCCTTTTAATTACCACTTGTACATTAGTGTTTGCACAGAAAATCAGCATTTGATACAATATGAAAATCTACTAGGAGAAGTAGATAAAGCAGATGTCAAGCTATATAAATTAATCTTAGAGAATGTATGTACAGCAGGAGACACTTTCAAAGCTATTAATGTGTTGGAAGAAATGAAAAAGCAAAATATGCCTGCTGATGAAGACACTTTTAATTCATTAGTCCTAGCACATGCTATAAATGGGTAAGTGTATTTTTTTGAAAACATGAATTATAAAAATATTCAAATATTTTATTGTGATTTTAGTGGTCTTAATGATGCTAATACTGTTTTGGAAACAATGAGAAATATTGATATTTTTCCTTCAGTTTCCACATATGTAGCTCTGCTGACAGGTTTGGCAAAACGTGCTAGTGAAAAGCAGTTTGAAGCTGTTGTTGAACTTCTTCCTCCTAACAGTTTAACTGAGAAAATGTTCCTTCAAATTGTTCAGGAATTAAGTCAAAATGATAATCAGGATTGGATGAGACATGTAAGATTAAAAGGATAGCTTTTTACAAATTTTTAATTATTTTGTTACTTTAAGTTGTTTGTGAAAAGGGATTTTACTGATTTTTCAAAACAAAGTTTGAAGTATTTGGATAATTTATGTATACACCTTATTTACTTAGAGAAGCCTTTGACTGCAATAACTATATATTCTAAACTTGTCCAACAACAACCTGATATACTACAGGGGAATTATGGAATGTTTTTGTTAAGGGAAATGGTTAAAAAGGGATGTGTAAGTCTCTAATTATTTTTTATACTATGTGTGCTAATTTATTGTACTATTTAAGAGTTCTAAAGATATTTTGGAATCAGCTAAAATACTTAAAGAATTAAATCTGAACAGTATGGCCTATGTTAAAGTTACTGAGACTGCTCTGAGAAGAAATTATCATGTTATTGCTTGGGATTTGGTAAAAAATATGTCACCATTGCGGCCCCACTATTTTTGGCCCCTTTTAAAAAGTGCTGCTAAAGAAAATGGAGAAGTAGGTAATTTCTTGTTCTTGCTGGGGAACAGAAATATTTTTTTTCAATGTAGTAATTGTTTAGGTGTCTGTGAAGCTATAGGAAAAATGATGAATTTAGGTGTTAAACCTGACGAAGAGACTTGGGAATTATATATATTGCCCCACTGCGATTTTAGTAATCCTTTAGATTTGATGAACAGACTGAAAAAAATGGGTTTTACTTCGAAAGAGTTGTTTACGCCATTAATAAAAGTTCTCATAAGAAAAGATGCAATTCAAGAGGCTGTAAAATTAGGTAAATGCTAACAATGTATGTTGTTTTTGATAAAAAATATTTTTGTCTTTTAGTTTCAGTTTATGATGGCCCCATAGATGCCAGCGCCTTAAATAACTTATCCAGGGCATGGATTATTAATAAAAATGCCGATAGTGTGGTACCTATATTGCAAAAAATTTGTGAAGTGAACAGCAGACAAATAGATTGGGTGGGGCAGTTCTTGGAAAAAGTTTGCAGTTCCTGTAGAAGTGAAGACGACTTTAAAAAATTTCGCGAGTTACTGAAGGTATTTACTAAACGTATTAAATAATTGTTTGTATATTTATAAAGTTGTAATCATTTATAGTTTATCAAGTCTAAAAGATTAAGACTCTCCTCTGACATTGCAGATGCATTATCGAATGTTGTTCAATTAAAGTGTAAAGCAGAGAAATTAAGGAAGAGCATTGATCAACTTATAGACACCCTTTTGGATGTATCTTTCAAAACTGAAGAGCATCATATTCCACACCCTGTAAGTTATTAANTGACTGAAGGTATTTGTCCGAATTTTTCTTTAGCATGTCGTATTTTTCAAAAGATAATTCAACATTCTTCTGTTGTTTTCAACTGGCTAATAATGTATGCATTACTTATAAAAGGATTCGTTTATTTTAACGTTGACGTCTGGGATTATTCTTTATAGAAGTGTTTGTCGATTTTGCAAAACAATACAAATTATTTCCCGCTCAGTCTGAATTATTGTGTGCTTTGCTGGAAAACAAAAAAGACGGTTTATTACAAGATATAATAAAAGTTGTTGAATCCATAGATTCTAATTTGGCACAAATAAATCTTTTGGAAGCTTTAGCAAAAAATGGAAAACATAATACATTAAAGAAAACGATTCTGGTAATTCACATTTTAATTTTGGAAATTCTTAAATATTATAATCGTATTTTTTTTTCTAGGATTTTAACGGATTACCAAGGAACAAGTTACAGACTCTTTGCAATAATTGGTCGAAAAATGGACAATTATGTGAACTAGAGACGTTAGCAAAAGCTGTTAGAAAAATCCCAAGTCATACAATTGAAAAATCTGTCATATATCATGCTATAATGAAAATATACAGTAAGTAAAAAAATTTGATGTGCAAGAAGTAATTTTATTTGTTCTTATTAACTTATTTTTTACAACTCATACAGGTAACAATAATGATTGTGAGTCAGCCGTGGCCTTTTGGTCAAGTTTAGAAACTGAAGACGATTTTGGCAGAACTTCACTAGACAGCCAGCTAGTTTCATTACTTAAACGATGTAAATATGACCTTCCAGATAGATTAAAATCAAAAGTGGCTGCTACAACCTAAAACAAGGTATTATTTAGTAAATATTTCATTACGGGTACTCAGTGGAGTATTGTTTAAACAATTCCTATATCCAGGTCCTTTTTAAAGTAAAATGTTTGAAATGACAATTTTTGAAGTTATTTTGGACATTTGTCTTGTTTGTTTTCGATCGGTCCTGGTAAAAAATAGATTAATAAATTAACGGGAGAATGTAGTGAATAATTTATAAGGTTGTATACAGGGAGATTACAAAACACAGTAGATACTCGGTTATATAACTGAAAAAAAATATCGATTTGTTCACATTAACGAATGTTACATTTAGTATACATACTAAAAGAAATCAGAAATTTTTGTTTTAAAATGTAAAATTTATACGGGAATAAGACGGTACATCTCTGGCAAATACGATTAGAGAAGTATAATTTGGCATAATTAATGTGCTGTTCACATTATGTGGAGTTTTAGTTATGCAATGTTCACACTAGCGAGTGTCAACTGCAATTTATAAAGAGCAACTTCTAATTCTAATCCCAGTACAAAACAGAAATATAAAACATGTATTTATTTTGAGGATTAATTTTTTCGGTATTTTAATTTAATTTTTTAATTAACGCTCCAATATCTCTCAGGTTTTTGCTATACAAAAAGTAATATAGTTTACGTAGTCGTGTATACTTTTGACACTGATCAGGGGGAAGAACTAGTAGTATATATATAAAATAAATTATGAGTGCTGTCAGCACAGGGCAAAGTAGTATTATGTAATTAGTATCAGCAATTTCTTATGCTGACGTGTACGATGTGTTGCATAACTATTTACGAACAATTTTTCAAACAATTTTTAACACAAAGAAAGTGATTAAACAAAAGTGAATTTCGACCACTCGAAGCAATGGTGGTAATAGTTTCGAGTTCACAGTGACTGATAGGGGGAAGAACTTGTGCTTGTTATAAATTTTACGATGTAGTAGCGTACTAACGTAATGCATTTTTGTTTTTAAAGAGTCAAATGAACGTTAAAGAGTTAGAGTGTCATTATGAAGAGTTGAAGAGCAAGAATATGGAAACGAGGGGTGTTTTGAGGCGGTTGATACAGGCGCATGCACGACTTGGTAATTTAGATCGTGTAGAGCATTTACGCAATAATTTCTCAAGTCGGGGGTACATCGAATCTCCCGGAATGAAGGCGAATATTTTACATAATTATGTCCTGAGCAAGAAATTGTCTGAGGCTCAGAAGATGTTTAACGAAATAACGTCCAAACATCCTTGGTTCAAATTGGACGTTTTTAAAATTTTGGATTTTGCTACTCTCATGGTCCTGAATGGACAGGAAGAAAGTGCAATGAATTTACTGAAAAAGGAAACGAATGTAAAGTAAGTTAAGAAAAGTAGTGGATTTGATGTAATATTTTTTTAATCAAGAATAATTTTGCCTTAGGCATTTTATAGGAAGTAGCGGCATAGAACACAACTGCGTGGACCTTTTGAAGTCTTTTACCAATCCTGATAATCAAAGAAAAACATTCGATGTCCTGGTTAAATTAAACTATTGCAATATAAGTAATTTAATTTTGGAACCACTTGTCCAAATTCATTTAAAAAGGTATTGATTATCAGATAATCTTAATAAATGCCAAAAGAACAAAATTAGATTATTTAATTAATACGTTATTAATAAGTTTTATATTTCTAGCCAAAATATTGACAAAGCTGCAGAAGTGTTTGTCGATTTTGCAAAACAATACAAATTATTTCCCGCTCAGTCTGAATTATTGTGTGCTTTGCTGGAAAACAAAAAAGACGGTTTATTACAAGATATAATAAAAGTTGTTGAATCCATAGATTCTAATTTGGCACAAATAAATCTTTTGGAAGCTTTAGCAAAAAATGGAAAACATAATACATTAAAGAAAACGATTCTGGTAATTCACATTTTAATTTTGGAAATTCTTAAANTAGATATAGTTAAATTGTTTTGCGTTAATTAAATTTTTTTCTATTAATAAGAAGTATTTAGGAGTTAAAAAAGTAATTAAAATAACTGGCAAACAACATTATTAGTATGCTATTATATATATTTTACAGTACCTCACAAATAAAATGATACCCTCTGGTTTAGTAAACTATTTTATAGTAAAACACAAGTTTGTGGCCTCTAATATTATAAATATGATTAGTTAAAGCAAAATTCGCGTTTTTAAATTTTATTTACGAAAATTTGCATTTCTTTTTTCGAAAATAAACATTTATGTGTGTCATGCATTCCCTAAGTATGTAAGTGCAAAAATAATGATTTTACTTCAAAAATATCCTGTGCACGTGAGACTTGGGTATTGGCATTGAATTTTTCATACATGCCCGTTTCTTAACACATCGATAATTATATTTAGATGACGTAATCAGCATTCCTTCTGCAGAGTTGAAGGTGCGCCTCAAGCTGTAAACCGTACCACAATTAATTATTCATGATTATAAAAAGAGGTCAAAAGCTATCCAAGTATGGAATTATAATTAAATTGAAAAACATTAAAAAATATATACACTCAATTACTCTTTAAATAAACTTTACATCATAACTGTACATTTATGACCACCACGTATACTACAAATGTATATACTGTACGCCTCATCGTAGGTGTTGTTCAAATTCTGCATGTACCTGTAAACTGAATGCTACAATTTTTTTTTCTATTTCTTTTCTACAGTAACAAAAGCAGAAGAAAAAGTACAAAATATCAAAGATGCGTTAGAAGTTTTCGAAAATTGGCTCAAGGAGTTCGACTTGAATGACACAGGGAAAGAGAACAGAGCCTATTTGCCACTAGGTACAATAGAATCCCTTGATTTGTTGAAAGAAAAGTATAACGTCGAAGACAAAAAAGCTGAGGCATTTTTGGAAGCTTATAAATCTGTCGGGGGCGATTATAAGCACCTGAGGACCGTTGCAAGTGAAGAAAACGAGCCCACATGGGACATTGTAAGGAATAAAAAGTTGAAATCGCTTTTGACTAAAATGAAAGAGGAAAAGTCTGATTTATGGAAAGATGATTTACCAACTAAAGAGCACTTAGAGTTGATCTTGTGGGCTTATAGTCCTGACGCCAATCGTCTTAAAAAGGCTGTGCCATCTATCGAAGCAAAATTGGGAAAGAAGATGGATACTGACAGTGATGAAAAGGAAAAACCTTCTAAAAGAGGCGAAAAAAGGACTTCTGAGAATGGAGAATCCGATAAAAAGGGCACCAAACGAAAATCCGCCTCTAGATCATCTACCTCGTCTTCTTCGTCTGATGAAGAAAGCCCTAAAAAGAAGAGCAGGGAATAGTTTTAATTTTTAATATCGTCTTTTGTGTCATTTATATACGAAAATTGTTAATTACAAATTACAAAGTATCCTATTCCTTATGAAACGTTTTTGTATTAATATTTTTTGTACATTTTTGTTGTAAATATATAAAACTTAATCAACAACTCTACTTTAAATAGAAAACACAATTTTAATTTAAAATAATGATATTATTGTTGTTTATTTTATCTTAAAATATGATTAAAATGTAAATGTAAATTATTTTCATTTTGTATTTTCTATTGCAGTGCTATAACATTGAAATCTCTTTTACCTCCACATCTTATTCTTCATGTAGATCTATAGTGTTCTTCTGGAAATCAGTATATTGCAGGCCAAAAGGACGAAAACTTTCAATTTTATCGAAATTCAACTCAAAGTAAGTCACTTATTTTATTCTTTTTGTCTTACGTTTTGTCGAAACCCGTAGGGTAACCGAAAACGTCTCTATACTTGGGCTTGATGGCTGTGGTCAATGATTTTTTTACTTTGGTGAATCCACAGATGGAGTTGTTTGACGATTCCTCAGACTGATTCTCATCAAGCCCAAATATTGAGTCCTTTTCATAACTCTGTCCGTGAAAGAAGCCTTTTAATATTGATAATAAAGTTGTTTATAAGTACGACATTGTAATACTAAAAGTCGAATATTTAATATGGCTTTTATGATGCATTTATTTATCGAAAAAAACAGTACATACTAACATGCATGATATTAGGGTTGCATAATAACACAGATCCGCATATGGGGTAAACCCCCATCTGTGTAGAAGGGGTTTCGAAGAGATGCATGGATAAATATAACAATTGTAGCACAGTAATTATGATGATGATAATTATAATAGTAATAATAAAAATACGTACGTACGAAATGGAATAATATAATGTAGATAATATAATTCAGTCTTAAAAAATAAAACTTTTCAACTGGATAAAGACTAAATAAAAAAGTTCATTATATACATACAAATGTATATGTAATATGCGTTTATAGAGAAATATTTTGTACACGGTACAAATAAGTAAAATTTAAAAGTTACTCTTGGGTTCACAATTGCTTTCTTCAGACGTTTAATTATTATTTCTAATGGAATTTAATTTCCTAGTAATAATAAATATATACAAATAATAATAATAACAACCTACACTTATGTTATTANATTAATATTAATAATAGTAGCAGGCTGAGCGAAATTTATGTGGTAAGTGGTCATCCGTTGTCTTCGGTCGGTAATATTATTGAAACGGATTTTCTTGTATCATTTTTATGACCTGACGACGCCGAATCACGATCTGGAGAGAACAGTTTCTCTTCGTCCGAATATTGACTATCGTTGGATTTACCACTGCAAAGTTAAAAATTGTTTATAAGTGTGGGAAACAATTTTATAAAAAATAAATCATTAAAAGGTGATTTATATATAAGAAGTAAATAAATAAGTAGGTAGAAATATAGATATGGGGGCTGATGTGCGTTACCTGTTGAGCGGTGGGGTTGGTGTCCTCGAAAGGGGAAAACTGGCCACCTCTCTTCCAGCAGTTAGTGAGCGAATTGAGCCAAAAGGTTGGTCTGGTGAGAGCTGAACAGTTGTGGGTATTAATCCACTGAAAAAACGAAAATTTATGTCAAATTTAATTTAATTTGTATNATTATGTCCTGGGCGTTTCCCCAAGCGGGTGTTGCATCTACATAAAGGGTATTTGAACTGCACCCTTCTAGGGTGCATAATAACTGTAAGAGAAAGCGCTCGAACAAGATCGAATAAAACGATAGGGTTCGAGGGATCGTGTTGGAGCGTGTTTTGGCCGTTTTATCGAATTGAAAATTTTAATTATTTAACGTAATAAAGGTCAACGAACGTAGCGCAGAAAAGTAGAACGACAGCAACTCGCTGGAAAATTAAACTTGGGTAGGCCGCTGTTCTCATATAATTGAGCTGTAATTCTGATTCCACTGATGTAGATTGATGAGTTTTCATCTTTAAATTATATTTTTTCTATTTTAATGCAGTTAGAGATTTTTCTTTTTAAAATAAATTAAAATTACTATTTGCAACAAAATATGTAGACAACCAAACATACAGTAAATATTACAATATTAATAATGCAACTCCAAAGAATGTTAGAAAACTTTTTTTCACGAAAATAACTCTTTTACGTGTAACTCAATATTATTCTCAAACAAACTGCATAATTATTACGAAGAAATAATTAATTAATTTGTAATATTTTTAAAGACATCTTGCAGAATTTGGTTGAAAACTTTTATACATTTTTATTTGCAGCTGCTAAAATTATCAATTACGAACTTTCAGTTCATTTTATTGTAAACTATTGTTTAAACAAGCCATTTACGAAAATATATGTTCATTACCAACAATTATGTATTGAAAATTTTGGTGGAGGCGCCATGAAAATTTAAAATAAAGTCCGTAATTGAGCCATAATATTACGATAATGGAAGACAATATTTTAATTACTGTTATCCAGGAAAGGTACTCACCTCGAAGATCCTGAAGTGACCAAAAACGGTAAAGGTGTAGGGCATGGGCTGTGTGGTGAGCTTGCAACCGAACTTCTTGTGCTAGATATTTGACTATGGGGGCATTGGGGTGGTACTACCCCTGCTGCAGCCCTTGGGACACGTCCCCGTGCCCAACATAGTAATGACCTTTGGTCATTTTCGATAGCAGCTGAAAACAAAACAGTAAAAAAGCTGTTAATCAATCTTTTCCTTTTAAGGGCATTTATTTACACTGGGGGGGGGGGTCATTCTTCCTAATATTTATTATTTACAACCATCCCTGTATATTTAACAAATTAAAAGTATTTGGCTTTCAAATAAAATGCTTTCTAATATCTCAAATACAAATTCATTGCTAAAAATTTGTCGAAAAGAATATTTCAACACAATTTTGCACACTAATATTAAATAATTCGAGCGTAGACAAATGAGTTGTGGTACAGCTGATGGCTCAAAGCGGCGCGTCTTTTTTTTTACCGTAACATTTAAACTGTTACTTCCTCATTTACTGCAACAAAGTAATTGCAGAAGTACTATAATGTACACAATTGTGACGTATTAGAGTGTAGATGGTTTCTGCGCAGTTTTTTCTTAAATATTGTGATGTGTTGTGTATATTAAAAATGCATTTTTGCGGGGCAAACAAATAAACGCCCTGTATTGCCTGAGTTCGAGAAGAGATACTTCAGTTGGGACCGAAAAATGTCCCCAATCATCACATGTAGTAACTTACCTACGGTTTTGGAACTAGAGACGGGACTCAGGGGATAAAAGTCCCCATGGAGAGGACAGTGGAAGCCGATGGTTTGTTCCCTTCGTCGAGCCCTCCTCGTCAGGAAGCAGAGCAGAATACCACCTAGGAACATGACGAAACCGACCACTATGCATGCTGGACCGAGGATCCTGTTGTTTCCTGTGAACGCGATCCTTTCTGCATAATGATCAGGCTCCTCGTGCTCGCCAGGACCCCTGTATGACGCAGCTGTAACGTTCGAAGACACGAAATGAATAAAAAAAACCAACGAAAGGATGGAAGACTTAATTAGGGACCCAAGAGGAAACGGATGTGCGTTAAATAAATACATATACGTATGTGTAGCTCAATTATGAATGCTTCGCGAGACTACCAAGTAGAAGCATAACGATGCAAGTGCTAATTAACATTAATTAAAAAATAAAATAAATTCAATAGACGCATACACGTACAAAAGAGAACAGGTACGAAGGATCTAACTTGAAGAGGAGCTGCGGAAAAATAAAATTTCTACCATAAAATCATTTGAATAGTCTGCATAATAAAAAGTAACGTTTTTATGTTCTTGTACCTACTCTAATACATATTTAAAAATCTTCCTTAATCTTTCTTAAGACTAAATCGTTCGATAAAAACCGACATGAATATTTAAAACTTTTATAAATTCCAACCATGTTCGTGTTGAGTGACAGAAATGCATAAAAGATTTCAGTTTCAAATAAGTTTTAAAGGGTTTCGACAAGCAAAAGCGAATAACGAGTAGAGAGTAAAAAACATTTTGCTTTACATTGTATACTCATTTTTCAAAAGCTAGGTAAAAATTCATTCAAAATCTAAACGGTTTTTTCATGAAGAATTACAATACCTCATATTTTTTATTTGCGAAACGAAAAATATATTCGATACACTTAATTGGGTTGCGTTATAGGTCCCAGGTACATAATGTACTATTCATCAAATTAGAGGTAATTGGCATTGTACAATCATTAAATAAGAGTGCGAAACGACTGGCCACAAGGATAATAAGCATCCTGAAAAGTTCGATTACTTGTAGGCAAACTTTTACGAGAAATTACACATTTTTATCGTCATTTTATTCTTTTTATGCTGCACGTGGAATGTTACAACAATGGGACAAACAGGGACGTTAAAAAATGGTTAATTTAGAAATTCGGAAAAGATTATTAAAGGTTAACAGTGTCTTAAACTTTGAACAAAGTGTAACACCCTTAATTATTAAATTGGATTTTATAATTTATAAAAAAAAGATGACTGAAGGTATTTGTCCGAATTTTTCTTTAGCATGTCGTATTTTTCAAAAGATAATTCAACATTCTTCTGTTGTTTTCAACTGGCTAATAATGTATGCATTACTTATAAAAGGATTCGTTTATTTTAACGTTGACGTCTGGGATTATTCTTTATCATGCAGTGAATGTTCTTGTACTGTTTATTTATGATACCATAATAGTCTTATCATTGGTTCTTTAACGATAAAATTGCTTACGACAAATGACCAATGTAATTTACCTTTATATTCCTACTTCTTTAATCAACAACAAGAGTACGAGAAAAACAATACTTTATGTGTGACCAAATTGCCTGCAGATTTTGCAATAACCATACAATTAATCAATTTATTGGCAATCTTTAGGATTTTAAAATTATGATTAGTCGGCGTGCATTTTTATTTTTATCAAAGTTTGCATTTTTTTATTTTTCCGGTAGTGGGAAATCTTTGCGTGGTTTGTAGCGATAAATAGTAAAAGGAAATTGAATTGATATTACTTCACCCATTTTCCGTTTTGCGTCGTATCAAGTTATAGTTTTATAGAAGCAATATCACGATTAAAAAATCCTTGTAATAAACATGAATATGTATCGTCTGTTGTTTTACTCTTTGATGTCTTCTTTTTTGTCTGTTTTGTTTAATTCAGGAATACGTAATAACTGATATATGGCTAGTAAAACGAAAATAATTGGAAATGATCGAAAAAAAACAATTTCTAAGAACAGATGAACAGATAGATACACGCGTCAGAATGATTTTATGATTGTGTGTGGACAGACACCCTTAAAATAGCACGCTAGATTATTTTTTCATTACGAATAAATTTAGTTATCACACACTCATCGTCAACGCGAAATACTACTCCCAAATATCGCATATTTCACGATAAATTCCATCTGTTTAGTAGTTTTAATAACGCATTTTTCTGACGCCTGATAATTTTCTTCTGTGGGGTATTGTAAACTGTTCATTTTGTATGATTAAGGAAACTATATAACTACGTAAATATTACAATTTTTTTTTTGGTTTGTAGCCTGTAACATAGGTGACTTTTCTATCAACGCTTAGCACTACGCAATAAAAGATATTTGGCGAATTTGCAAGGAAGTTTGGAACATTTATGAAACATTATTAATTTTGTGAAGTACATAATTAGAATTACAAAGTCTCGGAGTAGTTTGCTATGCGGTCAAAGTTCATCGATAATTAGGCACATAAGGTCAATTTGCGGCTATTAATACGCTGAGTAATAATTAAAAGTTAATTGAATTATGACCACTCGAAAAGTTGCTGAAATTGTTTTCCTTTTAGTAATGCACCATTCTATTTTTGCAACATTTTTAATTCCTACAATTTCAGTAGCATAATACCATAAAAATTATTGTTTGGTTGCTTATGGTGGTCGCACACAAGAACCCAAAAATAATTTTCCTTAATTTGCGTTTTATTTAGATTGATAAAACCGGAAATACTTTTTAGGAACACGAAAAAGCCCATTATTTTGTCGTAAATAAAATATAATTGAGTAAGTATCGATTCGTGAAAGTTATTGGATTTAGGCAGAACTTTTGTCGTATTTTCCTTTTTATGGTCCAATTTAGATTCATCCTATTATTGATTTAACCAATCACGTATACAATAAGACAATATATAATGGGTAGCCGTGTAGAAGGGTTGACAATTTGTTAATATAATTTTTGGCCACTTTTTTGTTTCGTCAACAAAGGCGTGCTAATAAAAAATCTTCTAAAATTAACTATTTAAATTGAGCAGGTATCAAATCGCGAGGAAATGAAAATTGGGGCAGTGTAATTCGATGTCCTCCAATTTTCCAAAAATACGTTCGTTTTCGACACAGTGAACTGACAATAACTTTCGTCACTCATCATCACTCGGCGCGTCAGTTTTTTTACAGGTGCGATGTTATATTTTTAAAAGTTAAATTTATAATTACTCGATACTGACCTGTAAATAAAACTAAAATAATGATATGCAAGGGAAGAAAAAGTAGGGAAAGAGCGAATATAACGATAGGAGACGAAAAATTAGAAGAAGTGGCTGATTTTAGATACCTAGGAAGTCAGATAAGTCAGGACGGAAGGAGTAGTAGGGATATAAAGCAGAGGATAGCGCAGGGTTGTGTCGCCTTTAATAAAAAGAAGTCACTTCTATGCTCGCGAACGGTTAACTTAGAAATTCGAAAAAGGTTGTTAAAGGTGTATGTACGGGTGCGAAACATGGACAGTGGGAGCGGCGGAAAAAAAAAGGTTAGAAGCGTTCGAAATGTGGTGTTATAGGCGGATGATGAGGATATCGTGGGTACAAAAGGTTAGAAATGAAGAGGTATTGGAAAGAATAGGAGAACAGAGGACTCTATGGAAGTCAATAAAAAATAGGCGAGATAGGTTGGAAGGACACCTTCTCAGGCATGAAGGTCTAGTCAGAGACATATTAGAGGCAGAAACAGGAGTTAGGACCTAGATTAGATTAGTCTTCGCAAATAGTTAAGGATGTGGGCTGTTCTAGTTTTAGGGAAATGCGAAGTTTAGCTCAGGATAGGAAAGAGTGGAGGTACGTGTCCAACCAGTCTTAGGACTGATGACCTTATGATGATGATGACTGACCTGTAAGGACGCAGCCGACAAGTAGAAACAGAAATCCAAAAATGGGCAAAATAATTTGGCAATTGGCGGCTACAACCACCCCCGCCACCATCAGGCCGCCCTCGATTTTTTCTACTTGTAGACGCGAAATCGACTGGGGGCATCTTCTTTTAGCCCCCGACGTGTCATTTGATGAATTGCATATCGATTTTTGGTCTTCCTTCAATAATTGACTAGGCCTGAAACAAAAAAAACAAACAAAAATAACATACCAGTTCCTTTCTAATCTATTATCGTCAAAATCTTGTACAAAAACTTGTTTATACAAATGTAAACTTATTTGCTAAAGTTTATCTCATAATAATTACTATTAAGAGTAATTTAATGCAATTAGTATAACTTAAAATATTTAAATTGTCCTAGAATAAATTTAAATTGATAATTCGTCATTGATAATGATAATCTTCCCTCTTCGAAATTCGCACAAACAATACAGTAATTATTATGAAGCATTTAAATATTTATTCTAAATATGGACTTCTAATAATGAATGAATAATACTGTTGAAATGAACCTTCGGTATTCAAAGGTTAAAAACAAAATATAATGGAACTTGAAGGTGATGTATTTCACGAATTGTTGAATCAAAACTAATTTCGAATCTAAAGAAAAAAGAAATACCAATAAACGCAAGAAATGCCAAAATAAATGCATTGTACTTATTATAAAATGGGAAACGTGTAAGGATTCTTAAGAAATAAGCTTAACAGACAGAGTTAAAACCATTTAAATTGGTATAAAAGGTTTAATAAGCACGTTTCAAGCAAGGTGACTTAACGGGGTTGAATTAGGTCAATTACATTAGGAGGTGAAGTAAAGTAACATTATTATTTTTTCTCATGGGGTACCTAATAGGACTAAAAACACAACTTAAGAAACTTGATTCCATATAGACCAGATTGTCTAATTTTCTTCAAAACCAAAATTCCATGGCTTTTCCGGGTCTTCCAAGCAGTATTTGATTTTTTCTCTGAGTATGTAAAATCCAATATTCACTACATTAATTACATATTCATTAACTTTACGTATCCAAATTATCAATTGATAAATGTTTGCAAATAATTAAAGGAATTTCTCTGGTTTCGTCATTTACTAAGTATTGAAAATCCACTTCTTTTACGGTAAAACTCAAAATAATTACGCTTGCATTTTGAGAATTGTTTTTGGACAGTTTGACAGTTTTCACAATTACGTAAAAGCACTTTGACTTTTTCACATATTGTCAGGTAACCTTTGATCCAAAACACACTTATTAAAAAATAATAGTGCTTTCAGATTGTGTTGTCTTATTTGCTTATTGATTTCTTTCGATTAATTTTTAATTATAAAAGATAACATAGTTTTACACTCAGTCTAGTTATATTTCGTGCAAGTGGAAATGTAGGTTGATACGGTCCAAAAGTTAACACATACAGTCTTTTGTTACAGGAAAAGAAATCGGTTTGTAAATTTCGAACAAGCCAAATCCTTGAAACAGGCGGGGGGCACTCCTTTTTTCATAAGAATTGCACGCCTTCTCTCCTTGTGTATAGGTAGTAGCAGGCAAATTTTTAATTCACTTTTTCTTATAACAGACTTCTGCATAAGTAAATTTTTGCTATGAAATATACAAGGTGTTTCTGAGTTAAGCAACAACCTTACAGGAGGTGACAGGACACTACAAAATTTAAACTAAAATTAAGTAAATGTTTAGTGGTTCAAAAGTCGAGAAAAACCTATTTGAAAGTAGAATCAAGGGCCAATTGATATATTTACTTTATTAGTCGATCCACAACCGTCATTGTTTACATTTTTCATCGATACAGTTGATCAGTTGTTATCGCAATTTCTCTATGCGTTGCCAATTCACGCACAGGACCGGCTTCCGATTGCAACTTCGTCTGATTTTCTTACAAATTTTTATATCCCTTATTCACACTGCTTTACTCGCTATAGAAACACCCTGTATAATTGTAGGCCGCTGTTCTCATTCTCCATACGTATGTAACTTATTCAAAATAGAAATGGACGGAAAAACTTTCTATTAGACACATTGTTGTTCAATTATTTATTTGACATTACTTTTGTGTCTATAACTTTACACGTGTGTTACAAGAATAAAGAAAAATTGACGATCGCAAAATAGAAAAACCGTATTCAGTGAGATATGCAGATGGAAACACAAAGTAAATCCTTGAAGTGCTTTGTTTCACGATCAGATGAGAAATGTAATAGTAATTCTATTCGTTTGCTTGTGTACGTGTATATTACCGCAATACAAAAGAGGGGTACACATGTGTAAGATAAGGTCGACTGATTTCATTAACTAATTATTTAAATTATGTTACTGTTTTATAGCGTAAAATGCTCCAAATATTTTTGCTGTTAAACCTTCTTTACGATTACACCGTCGGAGAACTTTATATATCAATTTTTTTCGATTAAAGTCTGCATCAAATTTATAAAAAAAAGTCATTTAATTGTTTTGATAATCGCAAAAAACTGTAACAATTTAATATTGTAAATTAGATTTTTATTAGAGTAATAATCAATTTACTGCACTAGATGGATGGCCAAGTAGCTTAAAGCTTATTAGGGGATTACTAATTACTTTTGTAATTAGTGATTTTTAGATTAATAATACCGTAATATATACACAAAACATCGAAGTTAAACGAACTTTACATGACAAATCGACAAAATCGAATAAAAATATGCTTGCTTGCTACACGGGCGGCCCATTTCGATTCCTTTGTTCTCTATTTCTCTAACTCGAGATGCAGTATAATTTTAATAAACTTAATTTAAAATTTAACTGTAAATTGACCCATGAAATTTCCTTGTTTATGCAATTAGGTAAAAAAGAATAAATGGTCTTAAATTTCTCTGGTATGAACATTGAGTACAACAAATTGATGTAGTAACTTTTGTACGTTTTGCTCGCTCTCAATCAAGGCGATATCTTGACATTGTTTTGCATGACAATAAAATTAGAAAGTCTGTTATTTATTACTATGTATTAAGTAGTTATAATGTATCTGTGGAAATTACTTTTCACTTTATCTCACAATCAAGCAAAATCGAAAGTCAACAAAACAAATGTATCTATCCACCTATAAGAACGACAAAAAAGTGTAGAAATTTTTCTTGCAAAGATTTTACTTTCGTTTACTTTCTAATTCCAGGTTCAAAAAACTTTAATTTATTAGTTATTCAAATCTGTTGTTTCTCACTGGGTACGTAGTTATGTGTTGTTAAATTGTATCCTAATAGAAGCTTTGTGCATGTCTTTATGAGTAAATTCGTATTTAACAATTTTTTGGGTAATTTCCTGAATCATTCGTTCTAATTTTGAGAAGTATAGCTTGGCGCCATTATTAATAGATTCGCTTTAAGAATGCTATTTCGAAAAGATGACGCCAACTTTACCTTTTTTTCTTAAAACCACAAAAATAGATCCACAAAGGTAACCTAAGCTGATTTTCTTTCTTCTCTGCTTCGTAATTAAAAATGAAAGTATATATGCCAGGATAACGTTTTTGTGTTCCCTTTTTTTGTGTAAGACATGTGCGTAGACGTAGGCCCGTATCGAAATTTAAGGCTATTTATAGGAATGTATACCAAAGGAGGTAGATCTTATATATACATTTCATGCTGTAAAGAATGAGGGAATTCTATTCCAAATTAGAATATATCGGCAGAAATTTCAAGATGTTGAATCCTTACGAAAATACGTACTTACTATTACGACAGTCGTATTATTATTTGTTTTTATTCATTGTTAAAAATTATCACTCGTTTTAAGCTACAAGGTGCAATGAAAATGATAGATAACAAACCATTTCTTTGGTTGTGAGATAAAAAAAGTTTGTTTTTAGTCAACGTGTATAAATTATAGTCATTACAATAGCATAAAACGCAATTAAATAGCAGATAACATCGCGTTAGTAGCATAGAGTGCCATTTTTTGGTACCGCGCCATTTGCTGGCGATAGATTATCAAAACATCTGCCGTTTCATTAGTTTTTCTAATCGTAATGCACAAAACAATACCTCAACGATCCGTACATTAAATAATGACAACTAAATGAAAAAAAACGTACAAATAATAACAATTTATGTATTTAACATTAGTAATAAGTCGCAACTGCCACCTGAAACATCATCATTGTATTGTATTGCATTTCCTGTTTTAAATATTATTTGAAACACACAGTAGGTACTTTTTAACACACAGTGCACATATGTTCAAGACAATTATGTCCTGGGCGTTTCCCCAAGCGGGTGTTGCATCTACATAAAGGGTATTTGAACTGCACCCTTCTAGGGTGCATAATAACTGTAAGAGAAAGCGCTCGAACAAGATCGAATAAAACGATAGGGTTCGAGGGATCGTGTTGGAGCGTGTTTTGGCCGTTTTATCGAATTGAAAATTTTAATTATTTAACGTAATAAAGGTCAACGAACGTAGCGCAGAAAAGTAGAACGACAGCAACTCGCTGGAAAATTAAACTTGGCTCGACGAAACACATTGCAGTAGACCGTTGTTTCTGAACAATTTAACTTTCAAATTAATAATGCAGATATGCGTGTGTATACAGAGGACCAGAAAACGACCAAAAATAGACCCCTGTAAATGTACCTACAGATAGAGAATCATTCAGAGACACACTAACTATTAAAATATTTATAAGTAGGCGCTTGAACTACACTCGACTTTATTTTTAATATATATACCTAATAACAAAAACAAAAGTGCCGAAAAACGTCACTTTTGTTTTTCAATCATTGTTGAAACAAAAGAAAGAGAAAATAAAAGAAGCAGGCAGGTACGTACCACGCTCTTTTCTTTTGGTGACTTGCGGTACCATTGATGGTGACTTTTTTGTTGTTAAACGAAGAAATGCACTGCATATTTATTCTAATATCACGCCGTTATAGAACGTTAAAAAGGAGAATTGTAATCACTTTCTACGGTCAACAGAAAGGCAATAACCTGCTATTGCCCCTGCTGCGGTTCGGTGGTAGATACAAACAAGAACACAAAGGGTACATTCTTGAAGAGAGCACAGTTAACTTTATGCGTTATACGGTGCGAGGTTTTGTCTTTTTCTGTTTGAACTTCATGTCTTAAATTACACGATTTTATTGACGATTTAAGTTAAGATCAAAAACATTTTTGTACCGAACGAGTTGTACCGGACCAAATGCCACGAAAGACTGCCGTTTGCTGTAGCCAAGCCAGGACATTTCGTTCGGTCTCCTCCTGTTATCATTTCTGAGCCTGGTTCTCGCGACTGGTGACTGGTACACGGTACACACCTCGCTTGATCGAGTTGCCAGCGATTTTACACACACATCTACAGGACGATCAAAAAAAAGGAAACATCCGAACACTTGATTTTGTTTTCCTAATTTCTTCATTGAAAGAGGAAAGATAGGCGATTTGTCATTGAAAGAAAAAAAGGATAATGTCCTTAAAATTTTCAGATTCTAACGTAGAATGTAGATTTTCTCATAATTTTGGCCCTTCTGGTTTTATTAATAGATTTTAAGTTGTATATGTTAAACCTTATCGTTAGCAATAACCCAATAACCCAATAACTTTATCTTTTAAAATGACCTTTGGTTGAAACAAGTGTTTGTTATTAATTTAATCTATCGTTGGAGTGTTTTAAGGGCTCTGTATTATGCAAGGATAAAACTTTTATATGTACGTATAACTTAATTTTTATGGTTTTGTACTAAAATAGTGAAAAAGGGAATCCCTTTATGTTAAAATTTAAGTGTAAGGATCTAGAACCAAGCGAACGTAGTAAGGATCTAGAAAAGTACTACCAAATGGTCTGCATTTTTTTTTCAGTTTTTTTTTCCATTGCATACACTTTTTGGACTAATATGAATGGCCTTATCTAAATAAGATTAATTATGAACTCTCATTATTATTACTACCTTAGACTTAGAGAGTTCATCAGTCTTTCTAAAAATAATCAAACAAAGATTCACTGTTCCGCCATCAGTTCCATTTAGATAATTTTATTACTTTGTATTGAAATCGGTTGATGACTTTTTCTAGAACGTTTCCTATAATATGGCAGGTAAACATAAATGAATATTTTTGCGAATTTTGGCACTATTTCAAATCGACGTTTGCGACCACTTTGGGACAAACCAAAATTAGACAATTAGTCAATGTAATTTAAATATTAATGACGTTTAATATTACATGTAACAATAATTGTTCAGATGGGACCTAATAATGTCGTAATTTTTCGAAAAATTAATATAATAACTACAACAATAACAATAATTTCGCTACTGCTTTGTGAAAATACAAAATTCTGGGTTACCACAATACGAATTTTTAATTGGCAATTATTAAAAGACTAGTGCAGGAATACAACTGATTAATGTGCAATAAAATTTGATGTTAATTATGAATATTTAGGTACCTCGTCAGTTATTGTGCTTTAAATTATTATGAGTAACTCATAGTTTTGCATTTACAATATGATGAGGGTGCTATGTAAGGTAATTCAAGGGTGGTAACAGTTTTTCTACAGATTAATAGAATCTTTGTTAAACTAATGATTCTTTTGTACTTTTAGTAGTTGATAGAAAATTGGTTTATTGCGAGAAAATAATGGATTTGTGACTAAAATATATGTGCATGTACATTACGTGCTGATGAGGACTATTAAGTCCGAAATCGCGATCTAATTCCAATAAAGAACTGAATTTTGAAAATTTAGGATTGTGGTCGTGCTGAAACAAACAAAAGGTTGACGAATATTTACTGACTATGAGGGAATAGATGAAGAAGATTGAGTTTATCCTTCTTGTGTATCCTTAAGGACATTAAAGACATACTACTGAATTTGACGTAGAAATAGTAAAATTTATTAGGTAACTTGTAACAATCTCAATCTTGATATGCTTTTTTGAAGATTATTTCAAGTTTCTTAATTATTACAATTTAATTTGTAATATCAACTAAAATACCTAGTAAATTTATTTCTTTTGGGATTTTATATTTACAAATGCGTGTCCAAATTGTAATTTTTATTATTTTCGCTTACGAAACAACGGGATATTGGGATAAATTGTAAATATCGCTTTAATATTTAGGTAAATTTTCCTTTTCCATTTTCTCCGTGTAGGAAAAATTTGCATTATTTTTGGTATGATTCTCGTTTTATACATCGTCATAAGTACAAATATAACGAATATTATTGCAAAAAAGAGAATTATGTGCGTATATAGATTACATTCGCGGTTCGGTTTTAGTACCCACTTAATTAATTAGATAATTACTACACGTGTAGGATTTTAGATAATTACTTGTATCATAAACTTATTCTACTTATTATAGCATTTGATTATTTATGTAACTAAAATGCCAAATTCTCTTTTAGTTATTTACGACCCTCTGGCGATTAAAACTAAATTAAACCTATACATACATGTATTCAGCTGTTAGTTTGCCATTTTATTTATAAAAAATAGTTCAACAGTTCTACAACAAATAATAATAATACAACAGGAATAACGTAATATCACGATTCTGTTTCTGTCTGGTCTCAATCGTTATTATATTGACGTAAAATTGTTCGAGTTTGAACCCTGAAATTTAATAATAAATTAAACTAAAAAAAGAAATAATTTATTGTTATGTTTAGCTTACTTTTGTTAAAAAAATTCGATTCGTTTACCAAAATACGATCCGATGAATAAGAAACACACCACCTTGTTCATCTCGGTTAAGGTGTAGTAAATGTTATCCTTTGGCTTTCCTTTCAAAAAAATGCCTTTGAACGGACGCAAGGATAATAATTTACCCATCGTTTTTCAATTAATGCGTTTTGTTGTCGGGAACTAACTGCCTATCGATGCGTTACATAAATCTATACCGAAATGTGGAGTTGGGCCAAAAATTCGAAGGTTTTTCAACAAACACATGTATATATGTTTATATTATGTTTTGCACGGATGGACCAGCAATAAAACTGATGAAAATATGTCATTGTCATCTTTAAATTCTTCAATAACTGATTATACATTTGTACAGGGGTTTCTTAGTATCTAAGTCTTAGTATCTAAATCTTATTTAAATGAAGTTTTCAATCATGGCACAGACAAAAGTACCACTTTTAGTACTTCAAATTAGACAATTTAGATTGATTTGATTGTAAATTCTTTTTATGTTCAGGGTCGTGTCGCCTTTAATAAAAAGAAGTCACTTCTATGCTCGCGAACGGTTAATTTAGAAATTCGAAAAAGGTTGTTAAAGGTGTATGTTTGGAGCACGGCGTTGTACGGGTGCGAAACATGGACAGTGGGAGCGGCGGAAAAGAAAAGGTTAGAAGCGTTCGAAATGTGGTGTTATAGGCGGATGATGAGGATATCGTGGGTAGAAAAGGTTAGAAATGAAGAGGTATTGGAAAGAATAGGAGAACAGAGGACTCTATGGAAGTCAATAAAAAATAGGCGAGATAGGTTGGTAGGACACCTTCTCAGGCATGAAGGTCTAGTCAGAGACATATTAGAGGCAGAAACAGGAGTTAGGAGGGGTAGAGGTAGACCTAGATTAGATTACTGTTCGCAAATAGTTAAGGATGTGGGCTGTTCTAGTTTTAGGGAAATGCGAAGTTTAGCTCAGGATAGGAAAGAGTGGAGGTACGTGTCCAACCAGTCTTAGGACTGATGACCTTATGATGATGATGATGATGAACAAATCAGAAACTGTAGTCGTTTTAGTTTCACCTAATAAATTAGTGGCGAGTTTAGAACCTAACACAGGGGTAAAATAATGTCAAAAAGCTTCATCCTTATAGGTAAAAAATGATATAAAGTTTTTGAGGTTTGTGAGCGTTTTGCCTTACGGATTGGTATGTTAGAAATTTCTCTAATGGGTCATTTATGCGGGGGGTAGGGGGTCTAAAGAAATGTGGCGTTCGCAGTTCAATCAATTTTATTTTAATTTTTTTCTTAACGTTGTAGTTCTTAAAATATTTCATTACGTTAGAAAGTCATTTTTATTACTATTTTTAATCACAAGAAATCGTTTACAGGGTTAGCTTTTGTGACATAATATTTGTTAGGGGGAGGGTCACTGAAAGTGTGACCAAGGGGGAGAGATTGGACCAAAAAGTGAAATTCAAGTTCAACTTAAACTTAATGTAACTTTTGTCTTGAATGTATTGATATTATTATTTATTGTATGTCTTTTAGGAGTAGGGGAAACCCCAAATTATGTTTGGTCAATCGTGGTGTGAAACTTGCCTTATAATTTCCCTTTTAATATTTTATAATCCTTCCAAGCTTTTAAAGCAATCGTTAATCCAACAAACATGACATATCTAATAAGTAAAATGCATGTACGGAAAAGTAAGATATGAATTAAAATTAGGCAACGGACCTAATTAATTAAACAAGTAGATTAATCGTACTAATTAAATTAATTACATGGATTATCTGATAGTGTTGCATAATGACTTGTTGCACCTACACAAAAAGGGGTTACGAATCTTTTATAACAGGAATAAAAAAGGTATATTATTATTATACCTACATTTATTTCCCTTTCATGATGAACTCAATTACACGATACATTCATCTGCATGCGCAATTTATTAGGTGAACTTTTTAATGCAGTTTAATAAATTAAAACTTATTCGCGTGCCAAAACCAAATAACGAAATTCTTACGAAAGCTTACATAGAATAAATTTAATTAACAGGAAAATGTTTGAATAGAAAAGACATCCTTTTCTTTAGATATAAAAACCGTACAGCGTGAAATCAACATATTAATGCTAGATACTCGTTTTTGTAGAGGTAATATTAGAATACTTTTAAAGACTTATTAATTGTGTCCTTTTAGGGTATGAAATATAAAATAACAAAATGAAGTTTATCTCTGACGTAAGAAGAAAATATAAAAAAAATCTATTTCGATATTCCATTTGATTTTCTTGGTAAATAATAATAAATTATAAATATGGGAGGCATCAATTTTCCATTAACTCGTTCAATAATTTTGCAATGCTTCAAGCGCAATAATTATGTAACATTAATAATCTATATACTTACATTAGATGCAGTTTTTATGTGACAAGTAGTGGCTATTTATTTATTTTAATACACATTTGAGCTTGTGATACTTCGAGTAATAAACTGTATTGTCCATCTCACTATTTCGTTTTTTATGTACTTGTGGTAGATGTTTCGTCCCACACAAAAAGAACACTTTATTTTTGTGAGTGCTCGATAATAGAAAACGAAATTTTAATTAATATATAATCTTTTCAACTTTTAATTGAAAAACTGAACAAAGAAAACAAACGAAGGCCTTATAGTGTTTGACACGATTTGTAATACTGATAAGTGAAACAGATACTGGAAAGATTATTCGCGAATATCTCCTAATTTCTTGATTCAGATTTATATTTGTTTGATTACTTAGCACATCTCTAGTCACAAAAAATTGTTTTTTTTTTACTGATTATTTAGAACTATATGTATTTTTGTTTGTACGAAAATATATTCGTAATGGTGAGCACTTTTCCATTTTCACATCACACTTGCAGTCTGAAATAATTTTCCGAACTGGCAGGGAATTTGCTACGTGATGTTGCGACTACGTACTGGGGTGTTTTACCCTCGAATCCTGCAGTCGTTCAATACCGAACTTGACGCTTGTTCTTTATATCCGACAGTTTCGTACACAGTTACGTAATAATTTATTAATTCGAGAAAGTAAAAATAAAGCAAATGAATTAATTATTATTCATATCTAGAACTTTTACTGAAACCAGAATGTTAGCAGTTTTAATATAAAAATTCAATCCGAAATTGCCATTTATTAGAAGATACGAAAATATGTAAATTATGAACAGTATACACATAGTTTACGTATTGGGTTAATAAATACCAATGAAACTTCTTTTAAACATCCTGTATTTAATTTATTCCTTTTTGTCCGAGTTCGAAATACCTAACGAATAATAAAAACTAATAATAATAAAATAAATTTTGTTTACAGCTCGTTTATATTGTAACAAAATTATCTTTTATTTAAATTTATACTTAGATAATTTTTTAATAAGAATCCATAGTGGAAATATTGTTTTAATCTTTACTTAGTTTTACAAATATTTCGTCAGTTGCAACTTTTAGAGTACCTATTTATTATTTTTTTTTATTAAATGTAAACTACAACTAATCCTTATAAATAAATTCTTAATTATATTTTAAACTTACCGCAATACTAATTTTTTTAAAAACAGAGAAAACAAGAAATATAAACGATTTAAACAATTGACGATGAACTTAATGTTGTTTATGACATATAAAATTACCAATATTTCCGTAAATCACTTCTATACTAATTTCAAGCATTTTTTTTACTAAATAATTTATCAATGTTGTTGATAAGATAACTCGACTAATTAAACCTCATTTTAATAAATATGGCGTTGAT